TCCTTGACAACCTCTGATTTCTTACACTGGGTTTTGTAGACCTTCAACGCTTGACTGTAGTTACTCGGGTTGCTGTGAACTGCTGTCAGGAACTCAACCGGATTCTTCAGGAACGGATAATTCACTGTAATCTTCTTGTTGATCACATCAATCTTGACACTCTCCTCGATAAGTTGCTGCTCTCTTGCTTCTCTGAGAGAGATTGCAGTACGCTTACTAGAAGTTTTGCAGTTTAAACATTTTGAACATTCTGCACACCTAAAACCTCCTCCTTCTTCAGAGTCTTCATCATCCATTGCATTCCTAAACTTTGCCATTGGAACCTTTGCCTTGAACACTCCGTAATTTTCCTCAGAGCTGCTCTTGGCTGTGCTGTGCTGGGCTGTGCTGATAACACAATTTGGAGAATTACACTCCACCGTGTTTACAACCACACTCCCTGGTTGCACATCTTGATCATGCAGGGCTGTATTGGACTCACGTACTGGAGAACTACAGTCCCCAGCGGGTCCACTTACACTCCCTAGGTTTATCTGCTCCTTGATGATCTGCTCCATATGCACTCTACACGCCTTTCCTTGAGATTCAAGGATTGAGTTCAACCTTTGGTGATCATCTAGGCTTGATTCAAAGTCGTCTTCCACTTCTCCGCTACAATCAACGATATCTTCCTCAATTATAGGGTGTGGATTAACCGTCAGACCTAATTTCTCATTTGTTGTTATTGCATAACAATGCTGCTCAACCTCATCATTCATATTCTCCATTATCCTTTCTCTTATCAAGAACACAGCATTTGACATCTCCGAATACTTCTCATCATTTCCTCTGGTGAAGGATTTATGTGGGCCTGCAAAAATTATTCTTGAACCGTAGACGTCTTTGAACGGACTTAAGTACACAGCTACTCCCGACGGTAGTACCTTTATCAGCACAGGATCCAGGTTCGTGTTCTTTATTCCCAATAATAGATGAACTTTAGAACCACCCACCTTCTCTGGAAGAACTACATCCTTCTCCTCGTCCTTGGCTTGATCCAGATACTCTTGACAAATCTCCGTCAGTTCATAGGTTCCAAAACCTCCGGTGACGTCATCCATGCCTACACATACTACTTCATGATACTCTCCTCTTTCTCCAGGTCCTAGATTGAATCTAAACGTACCATGGTTCGATCTAACCTTGCTGCCTCCTACCACAGTGAGGTTGGTGGGATTACTTGAAACCTTCTGCAAACCTTCCTTCTCTGCCAGCGATCCATCGATGATGTGGATGTTTGCTCCCCTGTCAAAAAACACCAGAGCCTCCGAGCTCCCAATCTTGATGGTTTGCATTAAATAGCAGGAATGTTCAGGTACTTCATGAATAATTTTCTCCGGAGATATAGTGTCCATCCGTCCTGTCTCCGAGTCTATGGATGGAGCAGGTATATTCTCATATTTCTTCTGATCCCATCCTAGTGCATTAGCTCCAGGTCCCATAGAAAACACTTGGTAGGTATAGTTGACCACAAACTTGATTGATGCATCCACGATCATCGTTCCCAGCTTCCCTAGGTACTGTTCCAGGTCCCTTCTCATCTCTTTAAATGGAGCTCTTAAAGTTGCATGCTCCTTTTTCCAGCAGAAAAATACAGACAACGGAGCAAGATTCTTAGGTTGAGCCCAAACTGCACATCCTAGGGCTGTATTGGACTCACGTACTGGAGAACTACACTCCCCCGCGGGTCCACTTACACTCCCTAGGTTTATCTGCTCCTTGATGATCTGCTGAAATGATTTCCAGGTTTCCTGCTCCATATGCACCCTACACGCCTTTCCTTGAGACTCAAGGATTGAGTTCAACCTTTGGTGATCATCTAGGCTTGATTCAAAGTCGTCTTCCACTTCTCCGCTACAATCAATAATATCTTCCTCAATTATAGGGTGTGGATTAACCGTCAGACCTAATTTCTCATTTGTTGTTATTGCATAACAACGCTGCTCAACCTCATCATCCATATTCTCCATTATCCTTTCTCTTATCAAGAAAACAGCATTTGACATTTCCGGATACTTCTCATCATTTCCTCTAAAGAAGGACTTATGTGGGCCTGCAAAAATTATTCTTGAACCGTAGACGTCTTTGAACGGACTTAAGTACACAGCTACTCCCGACGGTAGTACCTTTATCAGCACAGGATCCAGGTTCGTGTTCTTTATTCCCAGTAATAGATGAACTTTAGAACCACCCACCTTCTCTGGAAGAACTACATCCTTCTCCTCGTCCTTGGCTTGATCCAGATACTCTTGACAAATCTCCGTCAGTTCATAGGTTCCAAAACCTCCGGTGACGTCATCCATGCCTACACATACTACTTCATGATACTCTCCTCTTTCTCCAGGTCCTAGATTGAATCTAAACGTACCATGGTTCGATCTAACCTTGCTGCCTCCTACCACAGTGAGGTTGGTGGGATTACTTGAAACCTTCTGCAAACCTTCCTTCTCTGCCAGCGATCCATCGATGATGTGGATGTTTGCTCCCCTGTCAAAAAACACCAGAGCCTCCGAACTCCCAATCTTGATGGTTTGCATTAAATAGCAGGAATGTTCAGGTACTTCATGAATAATTTTCTCCGGAGATATAGTATCCATCCGTCCCGTCTCCGAATCTATTGATGGAGCAGGTATATTCTCATATTTCTTCTGATCCCATCCTAGTGCATTAGGATGGAAGTTAGAACTATCAGCAATCACTTCTTGAATGGAATTGACAAGCTCTGCAGGAACATCCGTGTGCACTTGAGCAGAAATGTGTACAAACCAATCCTGGATCATCTCCACCTTCTCGTCCAGCTTAGTATCCAGATTGTGTACTCTAGCCTCTAGCCTATCAAACCTCTGAACCTCCAGATCCAGTTTCTCCCAAATCTTGGAATTACTGTTCTCCAGGATCCCAATCTTATCTCGCAGCTCCAAATACATAGCTTCCGCTCCATGCACTGTTGTGGATAACTTCCCCATCCCACTGATGACGTTGTTAACCTTCTCCTCAACAATACTCTGGCGTTGATTCATCAATCTTACCCATTGATCCTTCTGACTATCAGCATTCAATCCTTTTGCAGACAGTCTTGATATTACTTCCTCTAAAGATCCGTTCAGGTCCAGATCTAACGATCTCCGGATGGTTACTCCTTCAGGTTGCAGAACTCTGGGAGTATTTAGGCTAGGCAGAACAGAGTCTGATTGGACAAACCCTAAACCACCCATTCTATCTGGCAAATACACTAACAGTGAGGGAATAGCTCAATAAATTAAATCTCTTGGTATAGTCCAGTGCTCGTCCCTTCAAGATATTGACCAAGAAGGTACTGACGGTGGAACATAAATCTCAGGTAAACTTCATCCAATCATGAACATTCCATTAACATTCAATTTCATAACTTAGAACTTGTTCACTCGATTTGTCACTATATTTTTCCGATTTGGCCAATATACTGACAACAAGAAACAAATCCAGTTTATAATTGAATTAAATGTCCCGCCTCAATTTACTAGATATAGATCTAATAAATGATAAGAGTTAGGATTATTAAAGGATCTCAGTTTAATAAAGCTTCCTTGTAAGCTTATTCCTACATCAGTCCGTATATTTTCCAATTCAGGCAATATAGCGGCGACGAGAAATTTTGCTAAATCTCAATTTGTTAACCGGTACCCTACAAGGTTGCAATTGAATGTTTCACTACTTAGCGATTTCCCTAAAGTCCTAATATATGTACCGTGCGGTATTTCTCAAGATAGGATTGTAAGCCTTCCTCTTCTCAACGCTCTCCATAACAAAGGATAATAATAAGGTTCCGAACGTTTATTTCTCCGAGACTTCAATCTAAATAAGTTTAATAAACCCACAGAAAAAGCTTTTGAGTGATAAATCATACGAATACAACAAATAATCCACTCAGGCATTAAAAAACTGTGGCAAGGAACCAACAAACACATTTATAAATATCAATCATAATACAATCAAACGATAAGCATACATATATATAAGAAATAATTACCGCAGTGATCCTAGAAATTTAAGCACGGTTACACTTGCAAGACAAATAAACATATACTAATACAGAAACTGTTCACTCCCACGCGAGAAATCTTGCGCCTGCATAGTCAGTCTGTAAACAGCTTCTAAAACAAGTTTTTCACAATACGTTCTGTACAGATCCGCAGGGAGAACTCAGAAATTCACAGGGGCATCAAATAGACTTCATACACGGAGCATGGCTCGCGTAACAAACGATTTCTTCCATAGTTTAGAAGTCCATTTACAGAGAAACCACAAGGTTACCCTTTTGAATCTGCCCCTTTACAAATGGAGTCACTAGAAATTACCTCAGCAGTCCCTTCATGGGTTAATAAAACATGTTAATGGGTTACTACAGGGAACATCAGGAAATAAAACTAATTTCTTTTCATCGCATTTTTAATTGTCCCGTGCAAATTATTTACACTATTGAAAACCCACTTTATGGCTTCTCCTAAAAAGAAAAAGTGTTTTTATTGAGGCAAAAGTGCTGAATCATTCTGTGTCAATATACACCCTCCTCCTCCTCCCACTCTCCCTTCCCATTCCCATTTCCATCATCCTCCCTCCCATCCTGTAATCCCATAAAAAATCCTCCAAAATTATCTTTTTATCAATTCACATCAGTATAAATTCTTTTATAATATTAAGTAAGTTTGATACCTGGCAATATCAAGATCAAATATATCAAGCCTATGAATAAAATGGGGCAAATAAAAAGCATCAGCTGAGAAATTTTACACTTCTGTTTTAATTTGTAAAATTTTCGATCGATTTTCTATAATTTGATGCCATTTGAGGGTTTGTTAGCACTAAAATTGAGAACATTGAAGCGTCTTAAAGTATACGATTTTGTTAAGTTCGTATATTTCTTTTCTTTGTATTTCGAACACATTATTAGGGTCTGAAATAGAAAAAAAAAACTCTAAATTATGTCAAAAATCTTAGGTTTATTTTACAAAACTAGGATCTAAATAAATCAAAAGTTTAATTATTTTAGAACTATATATACTCTAAATAGTATTTAAGCGATCGTAAATGTTTCGAAGATTTTTAAAATGTACAAAAATTTGAACATCTAACTTTTATGAGAGTTATCTTTTTATCTTTCATTTATCTTTTAATTCATAATATTTTTCATCATATTCATCAATCTTTTAATTCATGATATTAATTTTAAAATTAATTCATCATTTCCTTTGAGACAACTTGCGAGAGATTTCTTCAATTTATTAAAAAAATACTTCACAAAAGATTGTTGTGTTTATCAAAAATAGAAATAAAAAACTTTAAAAGCCTTTATTTAGACTTTTGCTTTAGAAAACACTACTTGCAATGAATGATTTTCATATTATATACTATGTAGTTACAAATTAAATAATTCTTTCTGACGTTAAAGACCTTAATAAAGACGACTTTCATTTGTCTTAATACTGATTCTGACTTTTATTTATATTTTAGTTCCAGTAACTGAGGTTGGAACAGTGCTAGGTATGCTGACTAACCTACCCTGTAACATGACTCCGGCACTACCCGGAGACAAGGTTCTCCTGGTTCTCTGGTACAAGGACGGATACGGGAAACCATTGTATAGCTTTGATCTGAGAAACATTCAGGTACACCCATCCTTTCACCAGATTCACTCTAATAGTAACATCTAAATGGGACAGTTCTGTTTAAAGACGAGCAATATCCCTTAAACCCTCATCTCAGAAAATTATTAATTTTAAAATTTGAAGTTCTCTGTAAAAAGTGACGAAATTAAAAAAAAGACAAAGAATAAAAATATCAGGATTACTGATTACTTGCCTAAAACTCTAATTGTCTGAACACTATATCTTTGCAACCTCAAGCTATACAACTTTGATACTTAAAATTTTATCTATATGGTCTAGCACTATTATTAAACACCAGGTTTAGAAAATATCGGTTTAGAAAATATCAGCTTTAGAAAATATCAGGTTTAGAAAATATCATGTTTAGAAGATATCAGACTTAGAAAATATCATGTTTAGAAGATATCAGGTTTAGAAGACATCAGGTTTAGAAGATATCAAGTATAAAAGATATCAGGTTTAGAAGATATAAGGTTTAGAAGATATAATGGTTTAGAAGATATCAGGTTTAGAAGATATCAGGTTTAGAAGATATCAGGTTTAGGATATATCAGGTTTAGAAAATTAGAGTTCAGGATGAGTAATCAGTTTTGTTTATTTAAATTATTCACCAGTATTTACAGAAAATTTACACTCTGAAAATATTCAAAAATATATGATATACTATTGAAATATTACTACTGATGGTTGTGCAGGGAAAGGCTGATGTTATCTGGGCTAGCGAGCTACGTGATAGGGTCAATCTAAACATTAAATCTGATCCAACAGCTTTCCTCACGTTTATGGGGGTAGAGGAGCAGGACAAAGGGATGTACAGGTATGGAATGTTTTTATTCAGAAATTTGGAAATTCCGGATTTAGAACGTATCATACCATAGCCTAGTTGAACAGTACTGTATCATACCATAGCCTAGTTGAACAGTACTGTGTCATACCATAAACTAGTTAAACAGTACCGTGTCATACCATAGCCTAGTTGAACAGTACTGTATCATACCAAAGCCTAGTTGAACAGTACCGTTCTGTACCGTCAACTAGCTGAACAGTACAGTACCGTGTCATACCATAGCCTAAATGAACAGTAACGTTCTGTACTAACTAGCTGAACAGTACAGTACTGTATCATAGCCTAGTTGAACAGTACTGTATCATACCATAGCCTAGTTGAACAGTACCGTTCTGTATCGTCAACTAGTTGAACAGTACAGTATCGTACTGTCAACTAGATACCTAGTTGAACAGTACCGTTCTTTGCAGTCAACTAGCTGAACAGTACAGTACCATACCGTTGCCTAGCTGAACAGTATAGTACCGTAACGTTTTCTGATTAAACAGTACAGTACCGTATCATTTTCTGATTAAACAGTGCAGTACCGCACCATTTTTTAATTAAACAGTACAGTACCGTACCGTTTCCTGGTTAAACAGTACAGTAAAGTACCGTTTTCTGATTAAACAGTACAGTAAAGTACCGTTTTCTGGTTAAACAGTACAGTAAAGTACCGTTTTCCGATTAAACAGTACAGTAAAGTACCGTTTTTGGTTAAACAGTACAGTAAAGTACCGTTTTCTGGTTAAACAGTACAGAAAAGTACCGTTTTCTGATTAAACAGTACAGTAAAGTAACGTTTTCTGGTGAAACAGTACAGTAAAGTACCGTTTTCTGATTAAACAGTACAGTAAAGTACCGTTTTCTGGTGAAACAGTACAGTAAAGTACCGTTTTCTGATTAAAAAGTACAGTAAAGTACCGTAAAGTCACAGAATGAAACAGTACCAGATACCGGACACAGCTGGCTTAGTGCACGGCGTTTATCTTTTTAATCAAAGATATTAGTTTTCCTTAAATTTTACAGAATTCTAGATTTAGAAAGATATTATTCTGCTCTGTTAGCTTCCTTTGCCCTGTAATTGTTATGATTAATCGCTAAGTTTCAGCTGAATATTCATATTGAATTTATGCAATTAGAATGCATTTCAGAGCTCCATGGTTATATGACATTAAATTTATATCCAGATTTAGGTTATTTATTTACCATATATACAATAAAAGTATCATATCTTTTTCCTTTTCAAAGGAACTCTTTTCTAATTAAATTAGGAAGAAAAGAAATTAAAATTGCATCTGATAATGTAATTATCATCATTATCACATTTTCGGCACCAAAGTAAAAAATGAGTTATTTTCAGAATTATTTTTATGAACTACATTTAGAATTAATTGTAAAGTATATTCTGCTTTTATATCATTCTAATGATCGATAGTAATATTAACGGACCCAGAAAATTAGAGGATATAGTGCTGAACCTTTTTTTTATATAAAAGTCATAAAGGAATTGAGGCTTTGTCACAAACTCTGCTTTTCTAAATCCTATATCTTTGGATTCCAATGTCGTAGACCTTAGATATTTCAAACTATGAATTCTGTTAGATCAAATAATATAAGTTTGAAATATTAAAGTTTTACGACATTGGATTCCAAAGATATAGGGATTATAAAATCAGAGTTTGTGGCAAAGACTCAATTCCTTTATAGTTTGTCCAATTTTTTTACTTGGCATGACCCCAGAGTTGATGATTCTCGTTTTATCGAAAGAAGCTGCTTTAGAACATTAAATATTTCATTTTCCAAATACAAAAAAGGAAAAATCATAGTTTTAAATATTAATGGTTTCTGAAATAAACATATTCTATTTGTATTGGAGGAAATGTTGTCTGAATATTTAATCAATGTAGATGAATTGTAAAGTGTTTATCAGCATTGAAAAATAAGTCTACATTATTCAAAATTACTCCATACTAAAATTAGAAAAGTTTCAACTTATAATTTTTTTTTATTCAAGTTCATCAGGACTTTTTCAATGTTTTGTCAAAAATTATATTTTAAGTTTTGATCTCCACAAAATGAAGCATAAGATTAAATCCAATAGAAAAATATCAGGGAATAGAATCCTGATTAAGCATTATATGTATTAAAAGTGTTTACATTGACATCAAGCATTTATATCCCTATATATATCAAGTTGGTAAAGATGTTGGCAACCTCCGTTATTCTTTATACCATTAAGTCACTTTATATTCCGTATCTCACATAGATCCAGACTGCTATGAGAAGTTGCATCAATTTATATCTTTGGGTTCTTAAAGTGATTTTACCGAGCACTGACTCACTAACACTTTTGTGTAGCCCTAACACACGCATTTTAAAACTATATAAAAACACTTGTTTTAAGCTTTAGTTTCAAGAAATAATTGGCAAAAGTCTTATAGATTTTTTAGCTCACTGTGATATAGATAGATAAAGAAAAAGATTGAAACATTATTTTTGTAAATTTTTCAATTTGTAGGTGTCGAGTTGATTTTAAGAAATCTCCGACTAGATTTAGAGATGTTAATCTCTCTATAACAGGTATATTTAGAGATATTAATCTATCTATAACAGGTATATTTAGAGATGTTAATCTCTCTGTAACAGGTATATTTAGAGATGTTAATCTCTCTATAACAGGTATATTTAGAGATATTAATCTATCTATACGGGTATATTTAGAGATGTTAATCTCTCTATAACAGGTATATTTAGAGACATTAATCTATCTATAACAGGTATATTTAGAGATGTTAATCTCTCTATAACGGGTATATTTAGAGATATTAATCTATCTATAACAGGTATATTTAGAGATGTTGATCTCTCTATAACAGGTATATTTAGAGATGTTAATCTCTCTATAACAGGTATATTTAGAGATGTTAATCTCTCTATAACAGGTATAGTCAGATAATGAACTGAGTTTTGCCACAAATTCTGATTTTGTATTCCTATACTTATTAGTTTGCAACCCGATGACAAGTTTGAAATATCAAAGCTTTACGCCGTAAGTTGCCAAGATAGGGATTAGCAAATTTTAGTTTGTGGCTAAAAAAATGTTCAATTTCTAAAAATAAGAATTCAATCCGTTTATGGCTAAAAAATAGTTAAAAATTGATGCCATACTTTTTGCTTTATGCTCTAGCACCCTGCCCCCCCCCCTCACCCCCTCCGCTTCAAAAAGTTATTGACATTTATTTAGTTTTAAAGTTTGTTCACTTACTGAGAATTTGAATAAAAGTCGCAATATATATGCAGGGAAAGCGAAAACTTTTTAGAAATTTCATTTAAATTTTTAGAAAAGTTTTCTGTCTTTAGAATAAATATGAGTTTATAAAAAGCTGGCTTCACTTCTACTGCTTTATCTCACAAAAACATGTTTTTAGACACAGCAATCTCTCTCATTAACTGCAGTGTAGTACACATAAACCCGGCCATTATTCTAAAAACAAAAGTCGTATTTTTATTCTGTCAATTAATCATCATTAGTTTAGACTAAAGCAAAACTTTTAGAGTTTTTTGTTTAGTTTCTTCTAAAGAAGGTTTGCTTAGTTCCGTCTAAAGAAGTTTTGTTTAATTTCTCCTTCAGAAGTTTGTTTAGTTCCTCCTAAAGAAGTTTTGTTCAGGGGTCCATATAATTCCTTTTTCAATCCCATTTGGGATTGACAAATTTGAAAGAAATGGGGGCAAATTTATTAAATGGGGGCAATTTTTTTTAAATGATAATTTAAAAAACATTGGGGGCATTTTTTTTAAATTGGGGGCATTTTTTTTTTTTAAGTTGGGGGCAAACAATTATTTTGGGATCGAGAAAATCAGCTATCAGGGAATTATATGGACCCCTGGTTTTGTTTAGTTCCTCTTAAAGAAGTTTTGTTTAGTACCTCCTAAAGAAATTTTGTTTAGTACCTCCTAAAGAAGTTTTGTTTAGTTTCTCCTAAACAAATTTTGTTTAGTTCCTCCATAAAGAAGTTTAGTTTAGTACCTCCTAAAGAAATTTTGTTTAGTTTTTCTAATGAAATTTTGTTAGGTTCCTCCTAAAGAAGTTTTGTTTAGTACCTCCTAAAGAAGTTTTGTTTAGTTCCTCCTTAAGAAGTTTTGTTTAGTACCTCCTAAAGAAGATTTGTTTAGTTCCTCCTAAAGAAGTTTTGTTTAGTTCCTCCTAAAGAAGTGGTTTTCCTGGATGAGAAAGGAACTCCTGTGGAAGATGAGGTTGGACCATATATGGAAGGATCGACTCTGGTTATAACATGTGATGTCATCGGAGGTATGTACTTAATTCATTGATTAATTACACTGAATGCTGGACATCAGAGCTTAGAAAGGTTTAAAGGTGGTTCATCTCCACTTCTTAATTTTTATATTAATTGAGAGTAGCTAGAACTTACAAGATAGGTGTTGTTTACATTTAACAATAAGACAACGCAGTACGAGGATGCGAAGGGTCAGTGTCAGAACTAGTTTCAATGAAAACCAAAATTTGAAAAATAACATAGTTTCGATGTTGTACGTTAAACTGGACAGAAAAAATGAAAAACTCGAGCCGAAATTCCGTCCTCTCTTTTTAGTTTTAATTTCATTGGAATGGTTGTCAGGTTGTCAGGCAATATATTATACTTGTAAGAATACATGATTGTATGAGTAGCTTTAATAAGCTAATAAACAAAGCTCTTAAAAATAGAATTCATTAAAGAAAAGAAAAGAATCATAAAAACCACAGAGTAATAAAACGAAGAGGTGAAGCTTAACTCAGATGTACACAACCGACCTGTCTATTAATTAATCAATAGATTGGTCGGTTGTGTACATCACGATATGTTTACGTATCTAACGCTGTACACTTGTATAGAGCGATCGTATTTCTAAAGGGGGATTTTATGGAATTGACCAATTTTTAGATTTTCTTTCTTTATTTAAAGAGAATTCGAGGATGTTGACTGCAAACATTTGACAATTTGACTCTTGAGTCTCCCAACCTTAAAAGGGTTAGCCATGCACAATTTTTTGGTATTTTGCAAAAAACTCACATTTTTACAAGAAGAATTGTTTTGGCAGTTTTTCACGATGCAATATTTAGACATGCTTGTATTGAAATAAACAAACAACTGAACTTGAATGTACTGCAGTATACACTCCTGTTTTTACAATCCATATTGAGTGTCTATCTAATTATCAATACTAATATTCAAATATCTACATTAAACCACTCCTTAGAAATTCGATCGCTCTATATACAAGTGTACAACGTTAGATACGTAAACATATTGTGATGTACACAACCGACCACTCTATTAATTAATTAATAGACAGGTCGGTTGTGTATATCTGAGCTAAGCTTCACCTCTTCGTTTTATTACTCTATGATAAAAAAAATTGCTGTACTTTTTTAAAGCAATTTATGATCTTTTTCTGGAAGAAAATATTTCAATCTAATTCTGATAGATAATATTTTAATCTACATTTTTAATAACAAAGTGTTAAAAAACAAAAATGAGTTCGAATGGTCTTTTTAGGTGTTTAAAAAGGAAACTTTTAAACACAGTTCTATTTTTCTTTTCAAACTTTTGTGCCAAATCATGCTGCTGATCTTGAATTCAAAATTCAAAAATATTGTGTTAACTGAATAGTTTTATAGCTATTTTACCTGCTTCAATTTAAAATACTCAATTTTAATTTTTCTTATTAGAGTTATATCCACTCTTATTTGAAAAAAGGCATACTACTCTTACATTAAAGATTCCGAAGGGGGGCCCCAGAAGACCAGATTCCAAAAATGAAATAAAATTGACAAGAAATACAATATAAAACATTGTTTTTATTTGGTATAAAAAATAACGATTCAATTTTAAAAATGCACCTTTAACAATGCCTCATCTAAATATGCCTTTAGCATTTAGAAATAATTATGATTAGAATCAAATCAAATATGATGAATACTATACTAGAGATATGAAGAGTGAAACATTCAAAAATAGATTTAATGACGCTGCATCATTTTGTTTACATAAATGAAAAGCAAAACCATTTATAACATGATTTAACAAAAGTGACACAAAGCTAGAATAACGAAAGCAAACTGACACCAACAAAAAAGTCTAAATCCGCTTGTATCCAAGGAGCATGAAAAATAAGGGAGATGGAATCGACCCAGCCCGCCCTGTCACATTATTATAACAGCTTTGCAGACGGGGTACTGCGTCGGAAAAGAGTTTTTAAAAGCGGTAATTGTACATCAGATAATTATTTCTTATTCAAATTAAGTATCGTTTGCAAAGAATGTATAATCATATGGTAGGGCGGACTGAGTCGATTCCATCTCCCTTCTACTCGGAGTCAAACCTTATATTCGGAGTCAAACCTTATATTCGGAGTCAAACCTTATATTCGGAGAAACATAACGTATAGAAACCGCTAGGTATAGCAACAAGGCGTATTTTGCAGGAGAACATTTTTAATATTTTAGAGAAATTAAACTTTCTTGTAAATTATTGTAGCTTAACATTATGATTATTATTTTTTTTAACATACTCTAGACATTAAAGAAGCGATATAGTTTAATGATTATGTTGTTGGTTTAATCTAGTACAGCAAACTAGGGGACCCTAACGGACTGAGCACTTACAGTACGTTGTTGTCACAAAGCAAACAAACAAGAAGAGGGAGATGTCAGAAAATGCCGGCGACATATCATGCATGTCAGAGACAATTCATTTTTCTCCGAAATATGCTTTCATAAAATTCCACATTACCATTTCATAAAAGGATTTTTTGAAAATGATATCTACTTTACATTAATTATTTTTCAAAAAAGTTTAATTTATCTAAAATATAAAAAATGTTCTCCCGCAAATTACTCCTTGTTGCTATACCTAGCGATTTCTATATGTTCATGTGTTTCTACAAGGTTTGACTCCCTTATATTCCATCCTCCTTGTTTGGATCTCATAACAAGCATAGAATTTTACATTACAATTTTTATTTAATTAGTCGAATAAAAATTTGACAAGCCGTAACAAGCATTATATAACCGCTTTAAATCCTATCTAAAACCCTTCTTTGCAGAAAATAAAATAAGAATTTTTACATTTTCCTAAGAGTGATCTTCAAGCGTAAAAGATTCCTTATATTGCTTTTTTTTCTAGTTAGACTTTTAAAACTTTTCTGCCATGTTGTTATAAGCTTCATTATTCTTTCTAGCCCCTAGTGCAGACTAGGACAGTGTTATGTGTTATGTGATGTCATGCTATTATGTTAAATTGTGAATTAGTACTGTAAACATAAACTAACGATGGCTGGGNTTGGGGGGGAGTGTGTGACAAAATATCCTTGACTTATTTTCTGTTTTGTCGATTTGGTTTTGGTGTCCAATGTTCTTGATTTTATATATTTATTGTTCAAATTAAATCCCAATAACCAGGCACTGCGAGATTAAAATCTAAATGTCTGAAACAATCTGTTTTACTGTTTATTTGACCAGGTTTTATGATCTAGGAATCCAATGCGGATATTTCTTTGAAACTTTACCCAGTATAGAATATGGGTGCAGGGTACCGATTAAAGGGACTGGACAGGGTTTTAAAAACGGTCACAAGAATGTAAATCATATTATAATAAAACTGCATTTAAATTATAAAATTTATTTTTAAAAAGTCAAAATTTCTGACCAGACTTTTTTGGACTGGCCTGCGAATTGAGAAAGTTGTAACATACGAATCGGATCGTAAAAAAATCAATTTAAAGCCAGACAAATCATTCAGGTATTACAACCTACAGTCATCGATTATTTTTCGTATAGTTATTATTTCATAATTTTTTTTTGTTTTATTTACAATGCACTTAAAACGCCAAAATATTTGTCCACCAGGTGTCTCTGCTCTCGATGCTTTGAATGATTACACGTGGCAGAAACACCTAGCGGGAAATCATGTTGTGTTAATTGCATGGTATATAAAACAAATAAAAAATATTATGAAATATTAACTATACAAATGCGTCGAAAAATAATGGATGACTAAAGTTTTAAATATCTAATTGATTTGTTAGGTTTTAAATTGATGTTTTTACGATCCGAGTCGTATGGTGCAACTTTCTCAATTTTTATGGACGCTACGTTCTTTTTAACGATTTTCTCCTTATTGATGCAACAGATAGAAATCAGATTAGAAGGGATTAACGTGAGCCTATACCCCTTTCATTTTTCGCGAACACCTTTTAATAAATCGTGACCGTTCCCTTTAAACATAATAGGAGTATGGTTCTGTTTAGAATTCCAAAGCATCAACGCTATTCCACTTTATGTCTGAACCTGATAGATTCAATGAATAACAAATCCCAAACTAAGTATAAAATAGTTTAGAATAAAGAGGAAAATGGGAACACATTTTTAGTTTTAAATTGAAGAAGTAAATTTTGCTTTCATAAAGGAACTGATTACTGTCTTTAACTGTAATTTTTATGGTCTGAATTATCAAATAATTAAAAGTTTGGTTTGATTATTTGGAATCTTGATTTCTCTAAGTTGTTTTATTGGATGTTGTTTGGTTTTATAACATGTCATTATAGTGGAGGCATTAAAGGATGTTTTAAAAATGGATAGCATAATCATATATGAAAGCTAGACAGCCTCGAGGTTGTTTGGTTTAATGATGCATTTTTTATAGGTTGGTCAATCTTGGCGGTTGTCAGGTTCAGTAATATCTATATACATTTATATAGGTTGGCCAGTCTCGGAGGTTGTTTGGTTTAATGGTACATATTTCTATTTATAGGTTGGTCAGCCTCTGAGGTTGTTTGGTTTAATGGTACATATTTATTTATAGGTTGGTCAGCCTCTGAGGTTGTTTGGTTTAATGGTACATATTTATTTATAGGTTGGTCAGCCTCTGAGGTTGTTTGGTTTAATGGTACATATTTATTTATAGGTTGGTCAGCCTCTGAGGTTGTTTGGTTTAATGGTACATATTTATTTATAGGTTGGTCAGCCTCTGAGGTTGTTTGGTTTAATGGTACATATTTATTTATAGGTTGGTCAGCCTCTGAGGTTGTTTGGTTTAAAAATATCCATATATATTTATATTGGTTGGCCACTACCAGTCTCGGAGGTTGTTTGGTTTAATGAAACATATATATTTATACGGGTTTGCAAGCCTCCGAGGTTGTTTGGTTAAATTAAATACATATATTTGTATTGGTTTGCAAGCCTCTGAGGTTGTTTGGCTTAATAACATATACATTTTTACATAGATTTACCAGCCTTTGAGGTTTCTTGGTCTAAAAATACGAATATATTTTTTGTAGGTTTGCCAACCTCCGAGGTTGTTTGGTTTAATAATACATGTATATTTATATAGGTTGGCCAGCCTCCGAGGTTGTTTGGTGGAGGGATGAGAAAAGGATTGATTCATCTTGGGAACAAATATCGCCTGGCAAATCGAGGTAAACAAGATTGTATAAACAAGAAACAAATTTGACAAAAAAAAACTGAAATGCATATTTAAAATGTATGAAATTGAGAATCTTGTATTATTCTCAATTGTAAACAATTATTCTGTAACCAGGGCTAATGTAAATCATAGAATTATTTAAGAATTTGGTAAACAATACTATAAAGCTTGACTTCAATCTGAATTATGATTTCTTGATTTAAACGCCAGATTAACCATTTCACGACGGGGGGGCATCCTCTCCTTGTGTTTTTTCTCCATAGCTCAAAAATAGCTTACAATATCACGTTCAAATTTCTTCACTTTTAAACTTCAATATAGTGAATAAATTTTGCTATTTTTTTTGACGCATTGCGGCGTTTCAAAAAAATCTAAAATAGTCCATATTTTTTTATTAATTAATCTACAGATCTAAAATTTATTTATTTGAAAATTCCATAAAAAGTGCCAAATGCTAATATTTGTCCAAAGTAATAATTAATTTTTTTCCGAATTTTTTAATGAACTGACCTTGAAAACTGTATCACCCTTTATCACATATATCTCAACTTTAACGGCATAATCTAAGTCCCCCCCCCCCTTATCTATATAATAAAATTATAGCCCAATTGGGTTAAAAAATATTTTAAATTACATTTACAGTCCCTAAACACCTGAGTAAGTTATACGCTTGGTGCAAACCTATTCCAAAATCCAAAGTTGTATTATACATTGAATCCAGTTAACAGAACAATACAAAACTCAGGGTCATATTTGTTTAGGAACACGTTAAAGATTGAACCTTTGCGTCGAAGTGATCTGAACGCCGTGCTCAAGTGTCTGGGAAACAATAACAATCAAACTAAACCGGTTTTCAGCTCAGTTAAAATCAGCATGCAGTGTAAGTACATTTTGTAATAAGAGAGGACTGATCACTGGAGTAGACAATTAGAGAACGAGGTCCTTTCTTTTCACCAGAAATTGCACATTTTTTGTTGTATAAAAACTATTAATAGGAAACAGACTAATAATAGAATAATTAATGTTTTATTATATAGATAATAATATCATTAATACGTAAACATATTCATTGCATATAATCCATTTTCTCCTTTTCTTTCTATATTTGTATTTTTATAAAAATACGATAAAACTTTCGATATTTAGAAACGGAAAGGAATGACATATGTAAATTGTAAATATATATAGGTTTATATTTATCTGGTATTTCCATTATTCTGGATAAGATACAGGGTTACCCATAAAGGATGTGATTGCAATGACGGCTAGAAACTATACGGCATTTAGATTGTAAATGCTTTAGCGTACGCAAAGAATTGAAATATATGATGATTCTATTCTTGTTTACATAAAGTATCTCCTGTAACCCTGTATCTCTAGTATCTCCTGTATCCCTGTATATCTCTAGTATCTCCTGTATCCCTGTATATATCTAGTATCTCCTGTATCCCTGTATATCTCTAGTATCTCCTGTATCCCTGTATATATCTAGTATCTTCTGTATCCCTGTATATATCTAGTATCTCCTGTATCCCTGTATATCTCTAGTATCTCCTGTATCTCTGGATATCTCTGCTGATGACTCCTGGTTGTCTGTAGACCAGGAGTATACCTGGGAGTGTTCAGCTACAGGAGCAAACCCTCCTCCAACCTTGACCTGGTGGAACTGGTTGGGTCAGGAGGTACCTTCAGTTCAACAGGTCAGATTTGAATTTAATTAAAAATTATTTTTTAAAATATGATTCTTAATTACATTACTGTCACTGGCTGACAGTCCCGTTTTACAGTATTTAGTATACTATAGCTTGCTTTAACTGCTTAAAGTAGGTCTTGCACTTTAGATAAACTGAGCTGAAAACTTTAGAATGGGATATCCTTAATCCTGATCGGATAATTAATCTGGAGATTAAAAATGAGAGGAGAACAAGCAATATTTAATCTCGAGATTAAGAAAAAGAGTGGATTAAGCATTAATCCCGATATCCACCATTCTAAAGTTTTCAGCTCTGGAGTAATAAGTGCAGACCTGTAAACGTAATTTCAAGGGACTCCCCATTTTAAAAAAGTGACATGTCCAATTAACAACGGGAACCTTGAAAGCTGTGTCTGATCAAGAATTCATCAGATTTCCACAATCTTCTCTTTGAGAGTTTAATAAACTTATTTAAATCAGATTCTTGAACAGAATTAACTCGTAACAAAAACAACAATTATATTCAATCATCTCCTCTTTCTAAAACACCTTTTTCAATGTTTTGAAAACAATGTTTTTTTTTAAACATTGTTTTAAATTCTTGAAAACACTAAACCCAATCCCCACGTGTACCCCGACCTCTTTATTTTTATGTAAACAAATTGTCCAGAATTATCAAGTTTTGAAATAATTTGCCAGGATGTTTTGAAACTATCAGAAAGGTTTGTTCTAAAACCCAATTTCAAAGCAAATAGTGCACTTTTCCCCTCCACTGTAACTTCAACCCCTCCCCTGTTATTCCACCCCCCCCCCCTCCTCCGGAACTGGTGCAAGTTCCTTGAAGTCAGCACCTACAGGCTGTATGCACTACACTGCTGGCAATATCAAATATTTTTATGCGTAGATTAGGAAAATTGAGTTCCTTTTTATACATCGGATATCAAGATATTTCCATATTAAGTGCTATTTTATGTCCAGCTCATGAAGTATTAATACAGCACACAGTTCTACACTTTTACAGTTCTATTTATGTAAATATTGCCCATTTATACAACATGGTTGTATGTACACTTTACAGTCTTCAGAGTACACTATAAACTGTACAGAGTATACTGTTTAGTGTTAAATATCGTCTATCAAGGTTAAAATGCGTATACTCTACGTATATATTGAAACCAATTCTCTCTGGGCGGAATTTGTAAACAAGAATAGATGCATCAGTGTTCGTTTATTATCCGAAGAGAATAAAAGTATTGAAATTTGAAAATTTTGATAATTCATAATAGTTTCCTATGACCAGAATATTTCGTTGATTTTTTATGTGAAAGATGGATCCCCTGTCAGGCTGTGACATCCGTCTTGTGTTTACATTACCGTCCAGAGACAGTACACCTCTGAAATAACTTTTCTTGCATTATAACCTATAAATTAAATGTACAATAACGGTCCGATTTTGCACCTAAATGCGACAAAATCAAACGTTAAAAATGGAATCAACTTAAAAGTCAAATGAAAAATTGTATTCCAAACACTTGTAGTCACTGCACAAATACACAAAACAGATACAAATTAGTTTTTAATGTTTTTTTTTATGAAAGAATTGTTAATGCAAATTGTTTTATAAAATGTACATTGCATTTTATATTTCTCAGCTAGAATCAATCAAAAATACAAATTTAAAGAAATGAAATGGAAGATTTAAACCAGTGGTAGTCGGCAAGAAAAGTTTGTTAAAATAAACAATGAATTGTATCCAAAGTGCATTGATGTCCAGGGGGAAGCAAGCATTATGCATCACTAGAAAAGGGGTTTGATTGCATTTTGTAAAAATTGACTCAAAGGAATTGAGTCTTTGCCACAAGTTAAAATTTTACAATCCTTATTTCTTTGCAATCTTTGAAGGTGGAAATCTTTGATATTTTAAAATTAAATTATTTGATTTAACTGAATTTTGAAATAAGAAAATCAGAGCTGTGGCAAGGACTCAATTCCTCAATCTTTTAATATTAAAGCTAGCCAACTATTCAAAGATTTCCAAACGTGCAAGTGCTAAGTACATCGAAAAAACGTCCTAAATGGTAGAACACCACGGCTCATGTTTTAATCAAAAATGGAAAAAATGTATAACTCACTCTATCCGTCCAACTAAATGTGCGTAATTATATAAAAATTTAAAGATGGCTATAATGCCCATCTCAAGATGGTACCCTTAAAAGGTTTGTTTGCTTGAATATAAATCAGATATCAATTTTTATAATTTTAAAAACTGACTTTTTCAACTGAGAGTCGTCCTCTACTTAAGCAACTTGGGCATTTCTATTCCAGAAAAATATATAGGGATCATCAAAAATAAACCCTTTTAAACCTAGAAAAACGACAATTTCTTTAACATTATTGATCAATTATTACATTTTTATTACATTACATTAATTGTTACATTTAATTACGCTTACAGTGCCTTTTAATTCTTGTGATAAAAATTCCAAGCATCAACAGCTTTTAAGAAGTCCAAATTCAAATTTTGTTTCAGAACAGACTTTGACCAAAAAGCAAGAAGCATGAATTAAGGTTACCCCACCCTCATAAAATAAAATAAATTGTGCCAAGAGTAAACTTAAAAAATTTGAGCATTTAAAGTTGAGTTCAAAACTTAAAAACGTCCGACAGGACAAACGTTGGACCAGGACAAACGTCGGACTAGTACAAACATCGGACAAAGGAAAAAAAAATATTTTAACTTTAAGATTTAACAAAAAAAAGTTATTTCAATTTATCGACTGGTCTAATTAAAATCTAACCAAAGGAACTGAGTTCTTGCCAACAACTCAAATATTCTCATCCCTATATCTTTGCAACCTGGTAATGGCATTTGCATTTAATACTTTTCAAACTTAAACTGTTTGATCTTATAGATTTCACAGGTTGAAATATCAAAGGTGATACGACGTCGGGTTGCAAAGATCTAGGCATATTGAAACATCAGAGTATGTGACAAATGAACTCAACTCCTTTTGGTCTGTTGTTTTATAAAGCTGTGATACATTAAAAGCATAAGAATTTATTCAGTTGTCTTTGATTTTATCACAATAAATGAGTGATGTTTAATGTATTGGTGATAGCAATGGTTTTTTTTTTCAAACTCAACCAAAGTGCGTCATTTTTCTTTATAAATGTACCTGTCCGATGTTTGTACTGGTCCGACGTTTGTACTAGTCCGACGTTTGTACTATCATGACGTTTGTACCAGTCCGACGTTTTTAAGTCCGACGTTTGTACTGTCCGACCTTTGTAACGTCCGACGTTAGTTAGTCCGACGTTTGTACTGGTACCGAGGTCTAAGGTCTACGACATAGGGGTTGTAAAGAAATGGGGATTAGAATATTATAGTTTGTTGAAAAAATTCAAATATAGCATAAACTGAATTTTAACATAAGAAGTAAATACAATATCAGAAAGTAAAATGATTCACAGTTATTAAAAATTTCCCTAAGATAGTTGTTTTCAGAAATACTTTCTGTGTCGAAAGTTTTCTACTGTATAGTGTACTTAAACAAGCAGATTTCTAAGACAATTCAGCTACATTAAATCATCCAATTAAATACAGTACCAGACGCTTTTTAAAAGGAGGTTCAGTATTCAGATTATTTTTCTGATAATGAATTTCATTAAAATTTGTCATTTTAAAAAAAATCGATCCTGAACTGTCATTTTATGTCATGTTTGTTTAAAAGAGCAGACCTTTTTTTTTGCAAGCCATAATGTCCCACTACTAAACTTTTTTAAAATTTCCCACAATATTTGTTGTCAAACTCTCGTTTTATTAAAAGATACCCTATGCACTTCTCTCCATATTATTTAATTATAAATTTAATTTAGTTTGTACAAAGTTGAAGCACCCCTATATAAATCATAATCCTTTTGAAACAGGTTTCTGGGGCAGTTTAAACACTGCACAATATCAATCTGTAAATAAAGTTGGGGCCTGGGCCGGGGACAGGAGACATTGTTAACCCAGAAGAGAGACGATATAGATCTTGTTAACTCAGAAGAGAGACGATATAGATCTTGTTAGCTCAGAAGAGAGACTATAGGGATCTTGTTAACCCAGAAGAGAGACGATATAGATCTTGTTAACTCAGAAGAGAGACGATATAGATCTTGTTAACTCAGAAGAGAGACGATAGAGATCTTGTTAACTCAGAAGAGAGACGATAGAGATCTTGTTAACTCAGAAGAGAGACGATAGAGATCTTGTTAACTCAGAAGATAGATGATAGGGATCTTGTTAACTCAGAAGAGAAACGATAGAGATCTTGTTAACTCAGAAGAGAGACGATAAAGATCTTGTTAACTCAGAAGAGAGACGATAGAGATCTTCAGATTTCCTGAATTTGTTGAATTTAATTCTGTTTGTTGTTCAGGTTTCCTGGATTTGTTGAACATAATTCTGTTTGTTGTTCAGGTTTCCTGGATTTGTTGAACATAATTCTGCTTGTTGTTCAGGTTTCCTGGATTTGTTGAACATAATTCTGTTTCTTGTTCAGGTTTCATGGATTTCTTGAACATAATTCTGTTTAGAATGTTGAAGAGGGGAATCGTTCTGTCTCCACGGTTTACTTTACTGCTGCTATAAAGGACGAAGGAATGAAATGCATATATACATTTATCTATCTATCTATATATATTTCTAAATATATCCACAAATACAGAATATGCATGCAGAAATTAAATATATTTAAACATTATTAAAGTAACGCTAAAACTTAATTTAATTTATGAAATTATTCTTACCGAGTCAGGATAAGCAAAAGTATTTTAATGACTGGGTTATTACATTTATGCAAGATTTATATATATAAATATATTTAATATTTTTTTCTGTCTTTAAATAAAACTATCTATAGAGGTCGTTGCGTTATCTCAGAACCACTTTTATAATCAGAAATTTGCTCATAAAAATTCTTACTAAGCTCCTTTCACTATCTTTAACAATGAAATGCAATTAGCTTTATTAATTTTACAAAATTTTAAACAATGATTTTCTCAGAAAAATTTAATTCATTAGATGTGAATTCTATGATTTGGTCCCGGCCCGCGCTCCGGGTTCTCTTTAAGATGTTCAAACACTCATTTTAGTGTTATATACTTTACTTTGGTTAGCGCCGTATCTTGCAGTTAGATACTTTACTAAGGTTTAGATCTTATCTTAGTGTTAGATACTTTAATAAGGTTTAGATCTTATCTTAGTATTATATACTTTACTAAGGTTTGGATCTTATCTTAGTGTTAGATACTGTACTAAGGTTTAGATCTTATTTTAGTGTTAGATACTTTAATAAGGTTTAGATCTTATCTTATGTTAGATACTTTAATAAGGTTTAGATCTTATCTTAGTGTTATATACTTTACTAAGGTTTATAATCTTATCTTAGTGTTAGATACTTTACTAAGGTTTATATTCTTATCTTAGTGTTATATACTTTACTAAGGTTTATATCTTATCTTAGTGTTAGATACTTTACTAAGGTTTAGATCTTATTTTAGTGTTATATACTTTAATAAGGTTTAGATCTTATCTTAGTGTTATATACTTTACTAAAGTTTAGATCTTATCTTAGTGTTATATACTTTAATAAGGTTTAGATCTTATCTTAGTGTTATATACTTTACTATAGTTTAGATTCTTATCTTAGTGTTAAATACTTTACCAAGGTTTATAATCTTATCTTAGTGTTAGATACTTTACTAAGGTTTATATTCTTATCTTAGTGTTAAATACTGTACTAAGGTTTGTAATCTTATCTTAGTGTTAGATACTTTAATAAGTTTTAGATTCTTATCTTAGTGTTAAATACTTTACTAAGGTTTAGATCTTATCTTAGTATTATATACTTTACTAAGGTTCAGATTCTTATCTTAGTGTTAGATACTTTACTAAGGTTTAGAATCTTATCTTAGTGTTTTATACTTTACTAAGGATTAGAATCTTATTTTAGTGTTAGATACTTTACTAAGGTTTAGATTCTTATCTTAGTGTTAGATACTTTACTAAGGTTCAGATTCTTATCTTAGTGTTAGATACTTTACTAAGGTTTAGAATCTTATCTTTTTCTGATTACTCGTTTCAATTTCTTTTATTATAATTCTTTCATAGATGCAATTAAATTTATTGGTGTAAACCTTTGATGTTTCAGATGTAGACTTTTTAATTTATCAGAATTCCTTCGGAGAATGAAATATCAAAGGTCTTGGGCAACAGGTTGCAAAAACATAATGACTTTAAATCTTTGTATGAGAAGAGTAACCAATTCTTGCATTTTAAACTTTTACCCTAATATTCCATTCCTTGGCAGGAAAATATCTAACATGCCGCGCAGATCATCCAGCTCTCAAGAATAAACTAGAAGTCATGAAAATCATCAAACTTAAATGTAAGTTTTTATTTCAATAAAATTTTACCGATATTTTGAAACTATTACAACATGATTTACATCTTCAAAATTATCGTTATGTTCTTTGTTTGACGTTGAAATATGATGTAAGCATTCATAGTGAGATTATTTGATAAACGTTTAAATATTTATAGTGGATTTCTTTTTACTGTTTCTGGGAGGAGTATAAACTCCAAGAAACAGCAGGATATTTATAGTGGATTTCTTTTTACTGTTTCCGGGAGGAGTATAAACTCCAAGAAACAGCAGGATATTTATACTGGATTTCTTGTGTTTATATAATAATGTTGTCTCCCCTCTAGTTGGTGTTGGTCTGTGAAGGAATATTATGATAAATGTCAAGGAAGATATCAACCTTGTAACTACACACACCCTTACATAACTAACATACAACACACATACATCGTTCTACTTTATATAGAACATTCCAGCCCATTTATTTATTTATTCATGCTTTCATTCATTCATCCTTTCATTCACCTTTTATTCATTCATTTTTTTCAATGTACCAACTTATTAAGTTATACGAATTTATAATTTATTAAATACTTACTACTAACATTTAATAGCTTACACACTTACTAACTATTTAGCTTTCTAATTTACTAGCCTACTAACTCACTAATTCTCTAATTTACTAACAAACTAATTTACTAACAAACTTACTAACTAACTAGCCTACTAACTTACTAACTTATTAAATTATTAGCCTACTAACTTAATAACTTACTAACTTACTAACTTACTAGTCTACTAATTTACCCTTCTTACAAATTTCTTGACTTATTTACTTCTTACTGACGTTAAATGTTTTGCATCTTCCAATATTAAAAACTAAAATTTTGCTGTGTATATATGAAGTAAATATATATATTATGTATAATTTTGTTTCAGATAAACCTAAATTATTTCTACGCCTGGGTAGGAAAATAGAAGAGCAAAGCATAAAGGTAAACTTTAATTCTTTATTTTTAACTTTCTGTGCTCGAAGTTTTCACACTGACAACTTAGTCAAATCTGTACGCAGCAGACGAAAATTTTAGAGAAAACTGGTTTTTTTTAAACTCAACTTTAGAAAAGACAAAATCCTGAATTTTTTCTTCCCTAGCAGAGAATTGTTCTATTTTAACAATTTCTTGTTGATATTTTTTCGTTTTTTGTACATTTTGAAATTTTTCTTTCGGCTTTTCTCCAAGTTGTGTTTCAGGAGATGTTTTTAAAGAGTTTGTATTTAAGGAGTTTGTATATTAGAAATTTGTATTAAAGTAGTTTGTATTTTAGGAGTTTGTATTAAAGGAGTTCGTATTCAAGAAGATGATTTTTAAGGAGTTTGCATTTTAGGATTTTGTATTTAAGGAGTTTGTATTTAAGGAGTTTGTAATTAAGGAGTTTGCATTCAAGGAGTTTGTATTTTAGGAGTTTGTAATTAAGGAGTTTGTATTCAAGGAGTTTGTATTCAAGGAATTTGTATTTTAGGAGTTTTTATTCAAGAAGTTTTTTTCAAGGAGTTTATATTTTAGGAGTTTTTATTTAAGAAGATAGTTTTTAAATGAGTTTGTATTTTAAGGAGTTTGTATTTAAGAAGATTGTTTTTCAGGAGTTTGTTTTTAATAAGTTTGTATTTTAAGGAGCTTTTATTTAAGAAGATGGTTTTTAAGGAGTCTATTTTCAATGAGTTTGCCATGATGAAAGTTAATTTTTTAATTTAGAACTTGAAACAAAAAAATAACACCGAAAAGAAAACCTAGTTTTTTGTTTTGCAAAGAATTTCTGAAAGCAGAAATTGAAATGATTTATTGTTCCTGGAAATTGGTGTCAATTCCTAATATTGTGCAAAAATATTTTTTCTCTTTAAGTTGAGGATTCCTTACAATTCTCCAAAACTCGAATAATAAACCATTCAACTGAAACGAGAAAAACTTCTTATTTACAGAGTTTTGATATCATCATATTCAAAGAAACAAAATGATTTTTTTGTTTACAATTTTAAAACTATAATTAATGATTTACTAGATCTTCTATGATCATTTTAAAACTGAAAGGAACTGATAACTCGCCACAAACTATAATATTTTAGTGCCTATATTCTTGCAACCTGATGGCGTAATCATATTTCAAACATTAATTTAGGAAAATTCATATTCATTATTCACTATACAGGAAGGGGATGATGTTTATATGAGCTGCTCTGTTACTGCAAATCCACCAATCTCACACATTGTTTGGACGCATAATGTAAGTGAAATCCGCGGAAATAAAAATGTCGTCTTTTCATATTTCCGGAGATGTTTACTTAAGTGTTCACTATTTAATAAATTCAAAACTATTTTAATATTTTTATGGAAAAGTTTGAGGCCCAGCGAGATTTTGCTTTGAAGATAATTGAGAACAAACAAGAAAATTGTATTCTGCAACAAGCGTAAACATTTCTATTTACCAACCCTTTGTAAATATATTTCTAAAAAGATGTTTTGCTTGTCTAATATTATAAAATTTTAGAGAGTAATTAAACTTAACACAATTTTCAATACAAGCCGTCAGTGATATTGAATTTTAGAATGAAATATGCAGAAAATACCTTGGCCAATAGTTTAAATAATTCTTGAGAAAAACCATTAATTAATTTTATCCCATTTTAATTTCTTTTCTCAATAATTATATTTTAATTATATTTTATATTTAGGGTAAAGTTGTGAATGGCCTGGAGGGTTCAGGATATAAAATTAATAAAGAAAATCTCATCATCAGAAATATTAGTTCAGATTATATAGGTAGGCATTTATTGCTTTAACATTTCAAAGATAAACATTTTATAGAAAAGGACATTTTATAGACGTGACAATTATAGATAGAAAATTTCATGAAAAGACATTCCATAGAAAATATTTCATGGACATTTCATTGATAGGACATTTCATAGTATGGTATAAAAGAATTGATTCTTTGCCACAAGCTTTGAATTTTAAATTCCTATATCTTTGCAACCCAGTGTCGTAGACCTTAGATATTTCAAACTAAGAATTCTGTCAGATCAAATAATTTAAATTTGAAATATCAAAAGTTTACAACATCAGGTTGCACAGGTATAGGGGTTATAAAATTTGAATTTATGGCAAAGACGCAACTCCTTTAGGGAGTTAGTTTTTTTTAAGGTAGTTGGGACTACTTTTTAAGGTAGTTGGGACTACTTTTTAAGGTAGTTAGGACTACTTTTTAAGTTGGATGTAGGTATAAAAAGAGCACGCAGTCCCTTTTTTGTAATTTTTAAATAACATTTTTACATAGGAAAGTACAGTTGTGAGGGAACTAACTCCGAAGGAACAGGGATGAGTAATGTTGTATTTCTTTCCATAGCATGTAAGTACAATTTATATCCTTAACATGTAAGTACAATTTATATCCTTAACATGTAAGTACAGTTTATATCCTTAACATGTAAGTACAGTTTATACCCTCAACATGTAAGTACAGTTTATATCCTTAACATGTAAATACAATTTATGTCCATATGGATGTATGTACAGTTTACATTCATAGCATGTAAGTACAAATTATATCCGTAGCATGTAAGCACAATTTATATCCTCAACATGTAAGTACAGTTTATATCCGTAGCATGTAAGTATAGTTTATATTCTTAACATGTAAGTACAATTTACATCCATAGAATGTAAGGATAGTTTATATCCTTATAAAATCTAAGTACAATTTATATCCGTAGCATGTAAGGACAATTGATATTCATAGCATGTATGTACAATTTAAAACCGTAGTATATAAGTAATATTTATTTGCTTAACATTCAAGTACAATTAATTTTCATCATTCAACCCCACCTGATGTGGAATTAACTGAAACGTTCTGTATTCCATTTCCCTTTTCAAAATTTGACCATTGAAAGATTGTTCGGTTCGATATTTACAAAGCTAAATAGGCTAAAATTCTAAATTCCAAAGTTAAAGTAGTTAAATGACGCTATTGATTATAAATACATCTTGTTCAAAAGTTTCCTCAGGAAGGCTTGGCTTTGGGTTATTGTGAGCCCTATATACTTAGTAATGCAACAATAGATACAATTTTGAGAAAGTGCATTTTCTCCTTGAAAATAATAAAAAGTTTAGTAAATCCTGATTCAGATTTTCCAAGGTTTTTTACGAGCTTTAGATTTTTTAAATTATTTTTTTCTTGAAAACAACAAAATTTCAAAACATTTATTACTTATTTTATGAAAAAATCACGGTGGAGGAATATACTAGATAATTCTTAAATTCTTAGAAACTTTATTTCAAGTTCTGCATCATACAGGAACTGATATAGACTTTTTTACTTACAGTTTTTAAAACAATTTGAAACTTTTTTAGTATTATTCAATTTATTACTTAATTTACTTTATTAAAGTTTTTTCATGAAACTAGTTTGAATATATTTTGGGATTCCTTTAAAAAATCAAAACATGCATTGCATAAATTTTTTTCCCCTCCGTCATGGTATATAGCTTCAAATTACTTTGTTGTGTAAAGAAAACTGTAAATAGAAATGATGAGCTAAGTTTTGTCCTAAAATGTCTCTAAACCCCTTAAATCTTCTTAATATGGATTAAATCCGTCGAAATTTTGTCAAATAATGTTACATCGTCTACACCAAGGTACTAATGCAAGGAAAGTTAATTTCGGTCGCGTATACTCTGTGTACATATTGAAACCTGTTCTCTGTGGGCGGAATTTGAAAACAAAAATAGATACATCAGTGTTCGTCTAGTATCCGAGGAGGATAAAAACATTTAATTTTGATAATTTTGAAAATTCACATAATAGTTTCATAAGACCAGAATATTTCATAGGTTATTTTTGTGAAAATGGATTCCATGTCAGGCTTCGACATCCGTCTTGTGTTTATTTTTCCGCCCAAAGACAGTACACAGCAGTACAAAAATGCGTACACCTCTGAAATAACTTTCCTTGTATTAGTACCTTGGTCTACACAGTGTAGACAGAGAGAAAAACAATTGATGACGCTAAAATACGAGACAGCATTTTCCGGCTGCTTAAATTTGTTTTCTAAAATTTAGAATTCTAAATTAGATTTTACCCTGACATAAAGTTTAAAATTAAATGTTTTCTTCGTAAATCTTGAAAATTCAAAATCATTTATTAATTTTATATATATTTGTTAAAATTTAGATTTACCGCGATGTCGAGCTGAGGTTGAATATAGAAGAGTGAGCCGGGGGGAATCAATAAAACTACAGTGTCCGGTAGATGCCGTCCCACCCTCCGTAGATTACAGGTAATACCGTCCCACCCTCCGTAGATTACAAGTAAATGCCATCCAACCCTCCGTAGATTACAGGTAAATGCCATCCCACCCTCCGTAGATTACAAGTAAATGCCGTCCCACTCTCCGTGGACTGCAGGTAGATGCCGTCCCACCCTTCGCACGTTTTAGGTAGATGCCGTCCCACCCCCCGTTTATAACAGGTAGATGCTGTACTGAGTGTTCCCATCCTCCGAAGATCAAAGGTAGATGCCCCCACCCTCCGTAGATTACCGGTAGATGCTGACCTAGCTCCATTAGAAAACATGTAGCAGATTTTCTTGTTTTCTCCGCTAAAAATTAATATTTTCTAATCGAGGTTTTCCAAAAAAGTGTCTGGCGGATTTTAGGCAGCAATAATAAGGAACATAATTTACAAAAAGCACACATTTTAAGCTGGGAAAACGACGATATCTTCCCTATTGCTGGTCAAATAAAGATTTGAATCATACTTGCAATTATTTTAAATTAAGGGATATATGAAATTACCCTTCTAGTCCCATAATGTGAGTACAATGTGTACTAGTAATGTTCCATTTCTGTTCACATTTTAATAAGAAAATATTTTATAAGAAATTATTGCAAAATATGTTAAATATGTCAGATGATAAAAGTTTAAATGTACTCTTTTAATATTTGATTTTCTATCAAGCTCCTTTCAGAACTTAGTAACTTTATTTACTTCTTTTATTTGTCGAAATCAAACAAACATTTGGTCCAACAATGAAAGGAAATTGTAAACTTTTTTTCCTGAAACACATTACAATCCTAGAAAAGAAGATTGTTGAAAGAAACTTTCAAATCATGAAGAAAAATTAAACAATGAGAAGCAGGACGGAGATTGTGTTAGGGTTAGAAGAGTATCAGGACGGATAATTTTTATCAGAGTTAGAGGAATAGCAGGACGGATATTGTATCAGGGTTAAAAGAGTATCAGGACGGATAATTTGTATCAGGGTTAGAGGAATAGCAGGACGGACATTGTATCATGGTTAGAAGAGTAACAGGATGGATATTGTATCAGGGTTACATGAGTAGCAGAACGGAGATTGTATCAGGGTTACAGAAGTAACAGGACGGATATTGTATCAGGTTTATAGGAGTAGCAGGACGGAAATTGTAGCTGGGTTACATGAGTAGCAGAACGGAGATTGTATCAGGGTTACAGGAGTAGTAAGACGGAAATTGTATCAGGGTTACAGGAGCAGTAGGACGGAGATTGTTTCAAGGTTACAGGAGTAGTAGGACGAAGATTGTTTCAGGGTTAGAAAAGTAGTAGGACGGATATTGTATCAGGGTTACAGGAATAGCAGAGGACGGAGATTGTATCTGGGCTAGAGGAGTAGCAGAGGACGAAGATTGTATCCTGGTTAGAGGAATGGCAGGACGGATTTGGTAACAGGATTAGAGGAGTAGCAGAGGAAGGAGATTGCAGCAGGAGTAGCAGAAATCAGGGTATCCGGTTACTCTGTCTAGGAATTATATATTTTATCTCTTTAAGGTGGGAGTTTAATTCTAGCAATACAATCCGTCCTCTTCATCCAGACAGCTCAGGAATTGCAGTCTATACTCCGTTTACAGGTTTTTATCTATATAATAACGCGCTTCGTTCATTTATAAATATGATGTATATAAAAATCCTGAAGATTACATAGCATAAAACATAATGTTGAGACAATAACAATTAAAATCATAAGTTTCAGACGAGATCTCTAATGATTTAAACCTTGCCAACGCCAGATATTTCAAAAAACGCGATTAGGAATTTTAAGAATTTAAAACAATTCAAAAGAACGATAATTTTCTTAAGTGAAAAATCTTTAATTTAGGAATGGGTCATGAAAATAACATTTTGTCGTCTAATGGTTTAATATTGCGTAAAACTATAAAGAATATTCGAAAAACTCTCTGCTGCTAACTTCAGCAAAGCAAAGTTTATCAAGAAATATATACATAAATCTTAACCAGATTTCTTTTTATTGAACTTTCTTTCCAAGGTGTATAATAATTCTAATCCCAGAACTCTGAATGATCTGAAGACAATCCCCGCCCTATACTTCTTGAGTGCTCAGGCCCTAGATAAACCTTAGAATTCTTTCTATGGCAGCAAAAAGGGGCCATTTTGTCAAATGATTTAAAAAAATAAACCTTATTGTAATCAAAATTTATATGTTTGTAAATGTATTTACAATTGTTATTGCTAAATGTATTTATTTTAGCCAGCAATATATATTTGAATGATCTAATAAGAATTATTAATGGTTCCAAGTTAACAGAAAGATTTTATGATATTATATATAGCTGACAGAAAAATAGCTGAAAAAATGTTGCTTTCATGACCATATTCAAAGTTAAAACCATAAAACCCTAATTACGGTTTTTGGGGCCACCCTATATGACTCCCGGAAACTATTTTAATTCTTTGTGTAAAACCAAATTTATAACTTATTAAAACCAATGACAGTTGTGACTGCAGTATAGACAGGGTGGACCACTAAACATGATAGTTAACATACGAGTTAAAGGTCGTCTTTGTTTTTTGATAGTGATAGTTTGTATCAAAGAAAGGGTTTCACAACGGATACACTGCACATTTTGGAAACTTGAGAAGTTATTTATTATTTTTGAAACCCATTTTTTCATTAAAAAGCCTTCATTAATAAAAACGATCTCTCTTTTAGTTGTCATGTTTAGTGGGACACCCTGTATTACAAATTGTTAAGCGCGCCTGCGGGAAACCATTTTTTCTGTTTTTCAACAATCCCTTTATATATTCCCCCTCTTTTAGACATTAATTCATATATTTCCATTTTGTTGTTATTGCTTCGTCGTAAAATTAATTATACCGGGGTTATTTCAAAATATAGTTTTCAACTTTTATTTCTTTGAAGCAGGATTATGCAAATTGGAATTTAACCTCCATTGGAGTTCAGTTTGAAATCTAATAGGTTTATATTGTATAGCTTATCATAAATAACATATACATAACACATAAATAAAATAATAGGTTTATATTCTATAGCTTATCATAAATAACATATACATAACACATAAATAAAGTAATAGGTCTATATATTTTATAGCTTATCATAAATAACATATACATAACACATAAATAAAATAATAGGTGTATTTTCTATAGCTTATCATAAAAAACATAAACATAACACATAAATAAACTAATAGGTTTATATTCTATAGCTTATCATAAATAACATATACATAACACATAAATAAACTAATAGGTTTATATTCTATAGCTTATCATAAATAACATATACATAGCACATAAATAAACTAATAGGTTTATATTCTATACCTTATCATAAATAACATATACATAACACTTAATAAAGTAATAGGTTTATATTCTATTATAGCTTATCATAAATACCATATACATAACACATAAATAAACTAATAGGTTTATATTGTATAGCTTATCATAAATAACATATACATAACACATAAATAAACTAGTTCTCACCTTTTTTAAGAATTCCACTAAATTTCATCAATAAAACTTTCGGATTTTCTTGAACACTTTTGTAGTAAAGATTCTTCATTATGAAAACGGAAAAAAAAAACTTTCAAGTACATCACCTTAATTTTATTGGAAAAATTATCTCCCATAAAAACCTGATAAAAACCAATATTTAGATTTTGAAAAAGTTCCAAATGCCAAAATTTAAATTTTTGATAAAACCCAATAAAACCCAATGGTCTCAATCAAAAAACACGCTCTTTGGATGAATTAAGACGATTTGATTTGTCTATCTTCCATCGCGTTTAGTTATACTCTCCGTATTTTAATTATAACAAGGCAGCATTTATCCTGAAAATATCTTGAGATTATATTTTGGAAGGAAAATAAAAATGAAAATGCAAATTTAATGTAAATGAAACAAGGAATGAAAATAGGAAAATATAATTTCTAATTTTCTAGATGATTTAAACCAGTTGGTGGTTCGGGGCAAAGTAATTTGTAAACTGGAAATATTTAAACTTTATTCATATCAACAATTCTTATAACTAGGGTTACTTCTCACAAATTCAAACAATACAATTACAAATTTACTCCTTTACAAAATGGAAACTTGCTGAAATTAAAACTAAGAAATCCTCATATATTTGTAACTTGATATTTAGTGTAAACCTTAGATATTTCCAACTTTGACTCTTTTATCTGAAAAAAATCATAATTTTAAATATGCCATGTCTACAACATCAGGTAGCAAAGAAATAAGATTTCTAAAATACGAATTCGTGGCGAGTTTTCAGTTTATTTCAAAACCGAAATCAGAATCCAATGAATGTAGAAAATACATGATGGTCTCTTAATTCTGTTAAAATTGATTTTTCAGATATGGATTTCGGAACTATACTTTGCTGGGGGATCAATCAACTAGGCCAGCAAATACAGCCTTGTCTTTTCAACATTTACCCAACAGGTAGATTAACATCTACCAATTAGATAGATTAACATCTACCAATTAGATAGATTAACATCTACCCATCAGATAGATTAACATCTACCCATCAGATAGATTAACATCTACCCATCAGGTAGATTAACATCTACTCCTTAGTATACACAGTTTAAATTTACACCTAATCAACAGATAGATTTACATCTACCTAATGGAAGATTGATATCTACCAATCAAGTAGATTAATCTACCTATTATAGATAGATTAACATCTACCTATTAGATAGATTAAAATCTACCCATTCAATAAATTAACATCTACCCATCAGATAGATTAACATCTACCCATCAGATAGATTAACATCTACCCATCAGTTAACATCTACTCCTTAGTATACACAGTTTAAATTTACACCTAATCAACAGATAGATTTACATCTACCTAATGGAAGATTGATATCTACCAATCAAGTAGATTAATCTACCTATTATAGATAGATTAACATCTACCTATTAGATAGATTAACATCTACCCATCAGGTAGATTAACATCTACTCATCAGGTAGATTAACATCTACCCATCAGATAGATTAACATCTACTCATCAGGTAGATTAGATTGACTTACATCTACCCATCAGGTAGATTAACATCTACCCATCAGGTAGATTAATATCTACTCACCAGTTAGATTAGGTAGATTAACATCTACCCATCAGGTAGATTAATATCTACCCATCAGGTAGATTAACATCTACTCATCAGGTAGATTAACATCTACTCATCACGTAGATCAACATCTACCCATCAGGTAGATTAACATCTACTCATCAGGTAGATCAGGTAGATTAACATCTACCCCTCAGGTAGATTAACATCTACCCATCAGGTAGATTAACATCTACCCATCAGATAGATTAGGTAGATTAACATCTACCCATCAGGTAGATTAACATCTACCCATCAGATAGATTAACATCTACTCATCAGGTAGATNAAACATCTACACATCTGATAGATTAAAATTTACCCATCAGGTAGATAAACATCTACACATCTGCTAGATTAAAATTTACCCAACAGGTAGATAAACATCTACACATATGATAGATTAAAATTTACCCATCAGGTAGATTAACATCTACACATCTGATAGATTAAAATTTACCCATCAGATATATTTTGAAAAATGGTCTCTTTGAGACATTTTCTCCTAAGTTTATTCTGTAAAAATCCCTCAATGAGAAAAGCTTCCCGAATAATATTTTGTGAGATATTGTTCTGTATTCTGTTTCCATTCCTTCCTTTGGGATAAGAAACAGAAAACTTTTTTAATATATAAGTTGCACCATCGGCAGATGCAATAAATATATTTGTTGCAAAGACTTTTTGAAAGCAAAGAGTTGACATTTTCTTGAAAATATAATTTTATTATATTGTCAACATTTCGGAAAGTTTTATCACAATCTTTAAGCAAATATTATTTTCGTGCATTTTATTGTTTTTATACAACCATGTATATCCTGGTACACAGAATATTTAGAATTGAAAATATTTGTTTAGGGAAACCAGAACCAGTTTTCAACTGTACTCTGTACAACGTGACGTCAACTAGTGTACGTGTCAGCTGTTTGTCCGGAGCTGACAATGGGGCTCCTCAACAGTTTGCATTGCAGGTCTAATTCGGTCTATTTTTTAGTTTACTGTGGTTCACCTTTTCTCTTATACATCTCAGAATGATGATGATTCTAAAATTGAAAAAATAAAAGTTCTTTATTCCCTGTGATAAAACCATAGCGCCATGTTTCTGCTTTTGATTTTAACATTTTAATTCAATCAAAGTTTTCTGAGATTATTGGTAATTTCGTTCACAATTATGCTTTTAACACTGCATAATCTTCAGATAAATAACTTCCACTTCTCCACTGTGACCGGACCCTAGATGGCTGACCAACGAAAAAAAATTATATTATGAGCTAGATTAATTACTACACAGGCTTTTTATGTAATCTGTGTGGACCTACACATATTCTCTAAATAATAAAGCTCATCGCTCATATATATATATTTATTTATTTTATATTAGCTATAGCTGCCCAAACGGCTAAAGGTTGACATTTTTTGAGGGAACCCTAGAGTACCCCATGGCTAACATAGGCCCAAAAAATTGAATTTGTTTTTTCAAAATTATAATTTTTTTTCAAGCGTTTCTAAAATTCCACGGGCAACGCCGGACACTTCAGTTAGTTTAAGATAAAGCTATAAAGAAAAAGAAAACAAATACTCGGTTGTTACCAGAATATTTAATTTTTTAATAAATACATTTATAGTGCACTTAAAATAAAAGATGATATTGTAATATGAACCTTTGTATCAGGTTTATCCGAACCATCTGGAGGAACCTCAACTTCAACCTTCAAAACTAATAAACAAGGTTGGTTTACAGGACTCATCATTAAAGAGAAAATCGCCAGAAAAATGTAGTAAATTAAGCTAGTTTTTTTGCATTTTACATTGATAAAATATTGTTCTTTAGAACAATCATGCCACTGTTTTCTGGTTCCTTATGTATGTTTAGAGAATAATCATAATAGAAATATACTGAAATGTCTGGCCATCAGTTTGTTTTCTTTAGTTTCCCCAAAAATGCAAATTGTGGTATAAAAAGAAGAATACCAATCTATCCTCCCATCCTTTTATTCTTCTACCTTTCTATTCTGCTATCCTTCTCCCCTACTTTACCCTTCTATATTATTATCCTACTATCCTACTATCCTTCTATCCTCCTATTCTGATCCCATCCTTTTATTCTTCTACCTTTCTATTCTGCTATCCTTCTCCTCTATTATCTCTACAATATTATTATCCTACTATCCTAATCCTACTATCCTAATATCCTCCTATATTCCTATCCTTATCCCATCCTTCTATCCTTCTACCTTTCTATTGTGATCCTTCTTTCCTACTATCCTACAATATTATTATCATTCTATCCTTCTATCCTACTATCCAACTATTCTTCTATCCTTCTATCCTACTATCCTACTATCCTAATATCCTACTATCCTTCTATCCTTCTATCCTACTATCCTACTATTCTTCTATCCTTCTATTTCCTACTATCCTTCTATCCTACTATCCTTCTATCCTATTATCCTACTATCCTACTATCCTACTATCCTACTATCCTACTATCCTTCTATCCTACTCATATATTTTGAAATTCTTTCCATTTAATTTATTCTTTCGTCTCCGGGGTCTGTTGAATTGTCAAGTTTGCTCTGCTTCTACTAAATTTGACATTTGTTCAGGAATCACCAAATTTTCTCGTCAAAAGTTTAACTTCAGGCACTGGCTTTAGCTTCAGGTAGAGTAGAGTTTAATTCTAGTTTACATTCATATAAACAATTTGTAGAATTCTTCCAACTTTTAACAAAGTTTATTTTACACTAAAAGGCTTGGCTTCTGTTTCTATGTATTTTCTTTACTAAAGACAAACTATTTTAATTTCGAGAGAATAATTGATTAAGCATTCAAACTTACAATCGTTTAAATCGTTTAAGGAATAAACATTGTTATGTATATGTTTTACAATCAGAGCGTCTAGCTTTGATTAAGACTTTTATAAAGTATATTTTTTAATCTTGCTTGTTTTAGGATCAATGCTTTCAATGATAACGGTGAAAGTGATATCGTGGAACTGAAAGTTTTTACACTTAGCGTAGAGAACCAAAAACATGTCAGGTACGTAAATATCAAATTTAAAAATGAAAATTTATAAAACATTTTTATTTTAGTGAAGTACGGGAGGGTCCTATCCCTGTTGAGATGACGTCATTGGTCTGGGTTTTTCTCGGCATTCTTTCCTTCCTAGTTCTACTTTTAGCCGTGGCAGGAGTCATTTTTAGGGTGTCCACTGTATATACAAGGTAAATAGCAATCAACTAGGAACAGCTGACTCGAATGAATAAAATCTGCGAAAATGTTTATCCTAAAATAAGGAACTTTCCTCGAAATTTTAAGCTACCTGTTATTTAAATAGTGGAATGTCCGATGCTCATCAGTTTCCTTTAACTTTATCTGCTCAATAATATGGAAGAAATTGTCGTGTTTCTAGCGTGTAGAGTCTTTAAATCTGACAATTTCTTTAATCAAAAATAATTATTTTTCTTAGAGAAAATATCTCATATATTCTTGACAGAACAAAGGTTTTTTGAATACCGTCGATACATGCCACTCTATAAACGAAGAATTGAACATGCCACTCTATAAACGGAGAATCACTTGAAGTAACGCCTAAAGTCGCTTTAAAGCTTATGCTTTCCTTGAAACTCTTGTGACAGTTGACTGTCCGGAGAAAAGAAATATTGTTGTTTAACAGCAGGATCCTTTTATCCCTTTCCTCCATCTTATTCTCCAACAGTTCACAGGATTAAGAACAAGTCATTGATGCTCAAGGGAAACAAATTATTGAGCAGGGAGACGCACAAAACCGTCCTAGCATATGTTCAATAATTTGTCTACGAAGAACCTATGTAGTTTTAAAAATAATTTCAAAATCATTTCTTTTTAGGCCAATGTATTTTTCGTCTTTATATCCTTTTTGGCTCATCATGTCCGCAAAAGTGCTAGATGTTTTTTTCAGGGAAAGCTTTGAAGAATAATTTTTTTATAGGTCATAAACCGGCCACCTAATCGTCACTAATGACAAAATGTCCCTTTTCATGTAATCTGAGGCCGAATTTAAAGATTTTGAGCGGCGGCTCAAATATGGTTGGTTCAACTTAAAAAGTTTTTCAAGATTTAAGCCGACGCTCAATTGAAACCGGTTTTTGGGTGATTGCAGACGCGGCTTAAACTCATTAAATTCGGACACTGTAATAAGTATATTAGATTAACAATTTAATCTAAAAACAGTATAAATATTTATGAATTGTTTCAAAAAATAATGATTTGATGTTTAATTATTGTGCACGTGCAGGATGAAGAGACAGAATGTAAAGAAACCGTGTGTATCTGCTAGAGAGAATGCCACGAGTAGAACAGAGAGAAAAGAAGATCTCAACCTAATGATTATACAGAATAATCCAGATATTATCCCGGATAAAGGTAGAATCCTACTATCCATCATGTGTCCCTTGAAGGAAGGGGTGCAGAGCCGCCAAGCCTCGAAAAACCGTGTCCGTGCCTCTTTCTAGGTCTCCAATACTCCGCATTTTGATCTCCACTTTTATTGTATTCATTTTTTATTTACCTTTTTATGGTTTAACCAACCAAAAATCAAAATATATCTCTTCAAAGTTGAATCCTAAACAGTTTAAGAATCTTTTAATCCACAAAGTTCAAACATTAATTCGTTCAATTGATCTTAACTTGTTTTCTTGTGAAAAGTTTACACAAAGCATACGATAAAAGCACAATTTCAAGTATTTCACAAAAACTATTTTGTTTTGTAAATTGGTGCTAGTAAAATTTGATTCTTACAAGATACACCTGTACAATAATATAAAATTTCTGCAAAAAGTCATCATGTTGAGACTATTTTTTTTGGTTGTAAAGGCCAAATATCTTTTATTAGAGACCAAAATTCGGGGCATGGAGACAGAATGGCGGAGGTTTGAAAAGATAACGAGAGGCGCGGAGACGGTTTCACGGGACTTAGAGGGCATTCTGTGTATCAGGAGGCTCCGGAGGTCATTTCGCGGGGCTCATGGAGGCCCTGCATTCCCTCCCTCGTCCCCCCTGGAGATTAATCAGGACTGCAGTGTATACTCGTTAATACCAATACATGTCACCAGGATGTGTTTTGTCATATCCCCATAATATACTTACTGGACTATAATTATTTCTATGTTCATTAGATTTATTTCCGATTAACTACACGCATCAAAAAATAAGGAAAAATTTGCTGCAGAATATAATTTTTATATATAAAGGAACACACTCAAATTTTCTAATCCCTATAACTTTGCATCCTAATATACCTTTGATATTTCAAACTTAGATTATTTGATCTAACAGAATATAAAGTTTGAAATATCTAATCCGTTTATCTTTACAACCTGATGCCGTAGTCTACGACACCAAGTTGAAGGGATTAGAAAACTTGAATTTGTGGCAACGACTCAATTCTTTTATCTTCCTTCCCTGTTAAACAAGGCTGAGAAAGGTTAACACGTTTTGAATGTTTGATTTTGTGTAAAGTAGCGTCTTCTCCTTCTAGATTCCTAGTTTTTAAAACCAGAAATGGAAAAGGAGTTGTATGACATATGTTTCGTGTAAAAAGTGTATAAAAGTATAGGATTTCATAACAAGAAACTGACGGCAACATTTTATTGACCAACCATTTGTAGAGTACCACCTACGACATACCAGTTTAAAAGTTACATAATTCGAGCCGGTGCAAGGATGCCCGCCTAGTAAGTTTAACCAGTAAGAAGTAGACCCAACGCGATTTATGCAACGGAATAAGGCGGGCTGAACTATAAACACTCAATTTTCAGTTAGAAAAAAAGGATATGTCAATTATTAGCCAAAGGCTTCAAAAGTACCGTTGTATATCGGACATGAAGGCCAAATTGAAATTATGTGTACAGATAGAAAGAGGGATCATATTGTAACCAGCACGGGCTCAGTAGCTCGGAGTGGGGATAGTTCCATTGATGTAACCTCTTTAGTTCTGATTCGGACCCAGAACTAAGCTCGGATTGCAAGTAGTTCTGTCTTTGAGCATAGAGGCTCATTAGTTCATTATATAGGTCGGATGAGACGTAGGTCGGTTGCCACGACTGCCGCAATTTCTAAAACTGAAGCAAGATTTGTCCGTTGGAAATAAAAAAAACCGACCCAGAATACGTTCCGGCTGCTTGACAAATCCAAGCCAATCTCAAGCGTTTTATTTAAAGATCCAGGTCAACACTCTCTTCACGCGATGGAGTGAGAGGATTTTGCCTGAATAAGCCGTATGGATCAGTAGTCTCGACGAAATAATTAATTTTATAAAAGATAAATCCATCTGCCATCCGAGGCGGAGTAGACTGATCAGTGCCTTGATTCTTCAATAATCTTATCATTAACAGTTTGTTTATTCTATTTTAACCAGTACGTTTTTTGTACGATGATTGTTTTTTTTTTCCTTACAGTTCAGGTCTCAAAATATGATAAAGTTTTATCCTTTACAATATTAAGAATATAGTTGTGACCATGCTTGAGGTTTCGTGATTGTAAAAATATTTTCTCCAAAGAGGTATTTAGATTTTCTGGTTGGGTTTGGTATATAGTGATTTAGTAGGACTAGGGTTAGATTTATGTTGACGGTTACGCTACTATTCACTTCAATACTAGTAAATAACTAGACTTGGAGCAAACTTTACAACAGGATATTTGTATCTCTTGTCTTACACACTCTACTAAGATTCTTTCTTAACAGCTTGAACTAAGATTCTCTCCAAACAGCTTAAACTAAGATTCTATAAACAGCTTATAATAAGATTCTTCCTTGACAGCTTAAATTAAGAATCTTTCTTGACAGCTTAAATTAAGAATCTTTCTTGACAGCTCAAACTAAGATGGTCTTTCAACAGTTTAAACTAAGATTCTTTCTTGATAGCTTATACTAATATCTTTCCTTACAAGCTTAAACAAAGATTTTTCCTTGGCTGCTTAAGCTAAATTATTGCCTTGACAGCTGAAACTAAGATTTTCCCTTGACAGCTTAAACTAAGATTTTTTCTTACAATAAGACGCTTCCTTTGATTATCCCTTTAGAGTTCACACTAAGATTCTCCCTGTAGAGTTCACACTAAGATTCTACCTTTAGAGTTCACACTAAGATTCTTCCTTTAGAGTTCACACTAAGATTCTCTTTTTAGGGTTCACACTAAGATTCTCCCTGTAGAGTTCACACTGAGATTCTCCCTTTAGAGTTCACACTAAGATTCTACCTTTAGAGTTCACACTAAGATTCTCCCTTTAGAGTTCACACTAAGATTCTCTTTTTAGGGTTCACACTAAGATTCTCCCTGTAGAGTTCACACTGAGATTTTCCCTTTAGAGTTCACACTAAGATTCTCTCTGTGACACTAAGATTGATGATGGTTTGAGAAAAGTTGAATATTCAGTGTGTAATCAATTATACAGATTACACAGTGTAGAATTTAAACTGCAATGGACCCGGACCTGGGGATTAATTGTATGAAACCATTTCATTCTCTTCTTTTACTATAAAGGGATTTATTATCTATTTGAAAAGGCAAATAATACCTCCAATTCTTCGATCAATTTAGGAACATCATCTAAGCCAGTCGTATCACTTAATCATGTTCTTGAGGTTAAAAATGATAGATTATATCCGTTAAAATAACAAACGTGTTTCTCCGAAAATTGGAGTTTTCTGCAAATTTTGTAAACGTTATAAAGAATTTCTGTTCATTTTGATTTTTCTTGATTCATTGAAATGTTTAAAGGCCCCTCGACATTATAATGATCTTCGCTGTAAGATTGCTTGTTATCTCCCGTTTTTATTTTTTTTATATGTTTGAAATATCATGATGTACTTTTAGACCGGAATTCTGATGAGAGACGGAAACCTCGGAGAAACTCGTATAATACTGAACGAACTTCTCAAGTGGAAGTGAGGACCAGGAATGGTAAAGATTTTCTCTCAACAATTTAATTAAATTTTTCCAGATAGAAGTTCTTTTAACTCTTTTTCTCCAGATTAGAAGATTTGTTAAAGCTTTCCTTGTTTAGGACAGGGCCCGCAGTACAGGCTTAATACAGGCTTTATTTCCTTTTAGTACATAGCTTAGAATAAAAGTAAAGGAATTGATTACTCGAAAAACTTTAATTTTATAATCCCTTTATCTTAACTTGATGATATTAACTGTGGATCTTTGACCACTGGTTGCACAGCTATAATAATTACAGGAGAGCAGCAAGTATATGTTATCTCTATGTACTGTACAGGAGAGCAGAGAGTATGTGTTTCTATGCACCGTACAGAAGAGCAGAAATTAAGTATGTGTTAACTTTATGTTCTGTACAGGAGAGCTGAAATTAAGTATTAATTCTATGTACTGTACAGGAGAGTAGCGACTATGTTTGAACTCTATGAACTGTAGAAGAGCAGCAAGTATATGTTTTAACTCTATTTACTGTACAGGAGAGCAGAGAGTATGTTTGAACTCTATGTACTGTACAGGAGAGTAGCGAGTATGTTTGAACACTAGGAATTGTACAGAAGAGCAGCAAGTATTTGATTTAACTCTTTGTACTGTGCAGGAGAGCAGCAAGTATATATGTTAACTCTAAGTATTGTACAGGAGAGCAGAGAGTATGATTGAACTCTATGTACTGCAAAGATGAGCAGCAAGTATATGTTTTAACTCTATGTACTGTACAGGAGAGCAGAGAGTATGTTTGAACTCTATGTACTGTACAGGAGAGCAGAGAGTATGTTTGAACTCTATGTACTGTACAGGAGAGCAGAGAGTATGTTTGAACTCTATGTACTGTACGTTACCAAAGAAGAGTACTGTGGATAGATCTAGTTACAGGATAATCAAATCATCAGCCAAGGTAGAAATATTTTATCATTTTTTCGTATTTTTCATTTTGTTGATTTGTTTATATCCAATAAACACCAAAACTATCCCGATTAGGTTCAAATTTATTGGAGAAAGGGAATATTTTTAAGTCCACAGATATAACAGAAAAATCTGCGAAATGTTCTAGATTTATGAAGTACGAAGATAATAATGGTGTGGCATAGAAATACATTTTAAAAGTTAAATTATTAGCTGAATATACAGTCATATATGTATAATTATAATAAAAAGAATAATAATGGTGTGGCATAGAAATAAATATTTAAAAGTTAGATTATTAGCTGAATATACAGTCATACATGTATAATTATAATAAAAAGAATAATAATGGTGTGGCATAGAAATAAATATTTAAAAGTTAGATTATTAGCTGAATATACAGTCATACATGTATAATTATAATAAAAAGAATAATAATGGTGTGGCATAGAAATACATATTTAAAAGTTAGATTATTAGCTGAATATACATTCATACATGTATAATTATAATAAAAAGAATAATAATGACAATAATAATTATGATTATGATAATATTTTATACATTTGTTTTACTCTGTATGTACTTATGTACTTTAACTTATATACTTATATATACTTGAATACTGATTATAATTATGCAATTTTTGTACAATTGTAAGTTAGTAAGCAAAAAAATAAGATTTAATTATTTTCCCAAGTCCTTTTAAATTTAAATCTAAAACGTATACAGAGGCAATTTTGTGATTTGGGTTAAAATAAGTTTTTTTGAAATAAACTTGGCTTATACAACATTCTACTTTATAAAACTTTGATGTTCGGTTTATCCTTAGATCCGGAGAATTGATTATATCTAGATGTAAGACCTGCATATCTATATTGTATTTGTATATAAATGTACACTGTAAACATCGTAAAACAGAATTAGAAACTGTTTGCATAGATGAATATATAAACCAGTGTTATAAATTACCCCCAAACCAATGTTATTGACGTTTTTATCCCGAAATTTACTTACAGATTTACAGGTTCCTGTATGTATACAGCAGAAGTACAAAAATAATAGATTGTTCTTGACCAAGATAAACATGCTAACCTGCTTTTGACCCAATATGATACCAGTTCATCACAATTTTACTACACAATGTATACCCCTATATGTAAAATAATTCTATGTTTTCTCCTAGGTGTACAATGTACAATGTACAATGTACATTGAACAATGTACACCCCTATATATAGAATAATTCTATGTTTTCTCCTGGGTGTACAATTTACAATGTACAATGTACATTGTACAATGTATACCCCTATATATAGAATAATTCTATGTTTTCTCCTGGGTGTACAATGTACAATGTACAATGTATACCCCTATATATAGAATAATTCTATGTTTTCTCCTGGGTGTACGGATCTAATTAAAGTTGCATCCTATAGAACTGCAGGTCCTGCATACAACAGTATTGTGCATATAACAACAGGAATAATTTGTAAATCTGATTTTCTGTATAATAATTACATCAGCAGATAAACATACATTGTACATACTCACTTCAATAACCAGACTCAGTATAGAAATATATCTTGCTGCCAATGATTATGAAGCCAGACATTATAATATAAATTGGATTTTTGTTTTATAATCGTTAATTTTGTTAATCTAACAACTTTATCAACATTCACTCTTCAATGTACATTATAGTAGATCATAGTAATACTATATTCCGTTGAATGGTGTTATGATTGTTATGATTACTTAGTATTTGCCTGTTCAAAAGATTTGTTGTTTCTTGTATTCCAGATGTCTCCGTCAGAGCTTCCAATGGTGTTATGATTGTTATGATTACTTAGTATTTGCCTGTTCAAAAGATTTGTTGTTTCTTGTATTCCAGATGTCTCCGTCAGAGCTTCCAATGCTGTTTCAGCAGAATTCACTTTCAATCCGTGAGGAGTCCTCAGCTGAAGATTTAACACAGCAGGGACGGGAAGCTAATCTCAGGTCAGAACTCCCCCCCCCCAAAAAAAAAAGTCGGAAAAATTTACAAAACCAAAAAAACCGCCAATTTTTATTTTTCGAAATAGATTTATAATTACAAATATATGTTTATATGTTGCACAAGAAAGTTTACTGCGGTATTTTCGGGGTTAATATAGAAAAGAGAAAATGTTAAACAAAATATCTTCTTTTGATCTCTTATTACAATTCTGGAGAGGGAGGTATAGTTTGAGTTCAACTATATCAATAATAGAGAGATGATCCGTAATAAAGGAACTAATGTTCTTTTTATGGAAATTTACAAGTCGTTATGAATATAGAAGTGGGGGGTGTTTTACGGTGCATATTTTACTGTTTCTGCTTGTTAGTTTAATGGGACTGTTCACATAGTTGGGAAATGTCATTAATTAAAGAGAGGATTATGCGTCATTGATATGTATCCACCAAAAAACGAAAATAGTGATTTCACATGTGTTTACTATTTTGAAAAGAATTTTCGAAGCATAATGATTGAAATTACAGAAAAAAATCTGGAAATTACTGTGGCCAAAATCATTTTTTGAGTAGATTCAATGCACTTGTTTAGCAATTTGCACTTCTTACATTGTCCAAATATTTGAATAATCCGTTGCAAGAGATTTTTTTAATAGAAAAAAAGAGGTATTGAAAACTAAGACAAGCATTAATTGGTTATTTTTTTTTAACACTTTTCAGATAATCTAATTTACTTATCAGACTAAGGACTAATTGAGAACACCTTTCATAACAGTTCGCTGCTCTGGTATTCCTGCTTTTCCCAAAAAAATTGCGCTCTGATTTTTTTTTTTGATTTAGGGATGAGTCTGGTCCTGCCCCCGCCCCTCCTGAGTTTGCGGATACGCCTCCCAACTCCTCCTCGTCACTCCTACAGGTTAATTTTATTCACTGGGAATTACACTTTCTTATAGGCTTATATTTAGCTTGCCTGTACGGTTCTGTATTTGTTTGTATCCAATAAACTTTACGTAGCATAACTAATCGGGGCCACATGCTCCACATGTACATGGAACCTCACAAAAAAAAGGCACTTCCAAAGATTTAGATTACTTAAAATTCAAAGAATCCACAAAACAAGTAAAACCTCCAGAATCTTAAAATCTCATGGTGCAATGAAAAATGTTAAATAAAAAGAATAGAGACAGAAAGCATCCTAAAACCCTAATTTTTGATAAATAAAAGCGACGTGAATTTTTATTAAGAAATATTGAATGATAGAAAAAAGTCTAAAAATAATTAGACGTTTTTTAGAATTCTAATTTTGTAGATCATTTTGAATTTTAAAGAATTTCCTGAACAAAAGATGGATTTGTCGAGTTTAAAGATTATACGGGTACTGTCTTTAAAATAAACTTAAGTTATAGTGCAAACTATTTGAATTCTTCAGAATAGATAAAAAAGTTTTGAACAACAGCAAATTAAATTCTTCACCTTTCAATTTTGTGCAACACAATGTTCTGACAACGTACGTAGTGTTTTTACCCCTGGAGTTAAGAGTGTGAGAGAACGGTTTGATTGAGTGGGTCTGAAAGAGCTATAACTTAGATCTATAGGGATGAATATACTTGATATATGGTCTCTATAAATTTGATTCAGTGATTTTCATGATGGGGGAGATTTCAAATTTATAGCTGCATTTCTATGAAGGCACTGAGTTCTTGCCTTATGCTCAGATTTTTTAATTTCTACATATTTGCACCCTGATGTGCAATTCTGTTACATAAAATAGTATAAGTTTGAAATAATAAATGTGTTCACCACCAAGTCGAAAAGATATACGGATTATACAATTTGAGTTTGTTGCAAGAACTCAGTTATATTAAATATTTATAAAAAAAAAACTATTTTTTAGATAATTGGTGAAGAGGGTATGGTGTATGATCTCAATACAACAAGGTTCTAATTCAGGAAGAAAACAAGAAAACACTTTGTTTAACCCTATTCCCGCTGGGGGGGGGGGGTCAATTTGACCCCCCCCTGTAGTTTTTTTTACATAACTCAAAAAGTATTGGTCTGAGGCTGTTGAAATTTTCTGACTTTTCTTACATACCCAAAGCCCTCCCTTTAGGCCTAAAACCGGGCTTTAATACTAACTGCCTGAGTCCTCAGGCACACTGCCTGAATGACTGCTTTTGACTGTAGCAAACTAAATCTTTGTTTTGACCCACTTTCACTTGTCAGATTTTGATAAAATTTAGCTTTTTGGAAAGCCTATGACATAAGGAAACGGATTGCACAAGTTTTGCGAAAAAAAAATTGCAAATTTTTTGCAAACAACCTGTCTAAGGAAATTTGCACATTTTTAGTTTTTCTTGATTAAAAATCAGGTTATTTAAAATTTTGCAAAAATTATTGCATATTTGAAATGGCATGGTCAAGGGCTTTTCAAAAATGTATAATTTGTCATTTTTTGGACAAATTTTTTTTTGCAAACATTTTTACTATAGAACTGGATTTTGCGATAAAAAATTCAATTTTCGCAAATTTGCAAATTTTTTTTGCAGATTCTAAAAGTAGAGCACAAGAGCTTTCTAATGATGTATCATTTGTCATATTTGGACATAAAACATGGGATTTAGAGGGGGGGGTCAAATTGACCCCCCCCCAGCGTATCCTGGTTTTCAAGTACCCCAGCGGGGATAGGGTTAAAAGGAACTGTGTACTTAATTTATGTGACCCTTCAGTTCAAAAGTGCAGCTTTGTTAAACACTTTAAACTTGTCGTCTGCTTCTACAAACAAGCAAGAAAATTCAAGATTATAAAAACTATAATTCTGCGACGAAATGTCTGAAAGCCTTTAATGGATATTGTTATCAATAGCTTGATGACAGTATTTGATTGCATATTGAAGGGTCAGTACAAATTATGTCGACAGTCCCTTTAAATCTGTTCCTAGTTGTTAGTTGCTGGTTGTAACGTTTTGTACTCAGGATCATAATATGCTTGCTTTAACATTTAAACTACGAGATAGTGTATTTCTTATACAAAATCTGAATGGCGTAGAGACTAGAGAGTGGCTAAACATCATTTTTTTTATGAAATAGCAAAAAAATCGCTTTCTGTTTGTTTTATCCAAAGGATCTCTGTTATTTGAGAAGAATGTTTAATCTCGTTATTTTGAACAAATCTGCCAAAACATCGTGTGAACAATAAAAGATTTCTGATCACCGATATATTTCGCTTGCACTTAAAGACTGCTTTAGATTTACAATATATACTTCGAGCATAAGAACAAAATGAATTATTAAAATAAAGGGTATTTACTTGGATACATTTCTTTAAAGCTTTTCTAAATTTTATGAAGTTAAATAAGTCATTTTTATTTTATGATTTTATCCTCTCTTTTTGCGGGAAATTCTTTTATGAAACTTCCATCAGTTTGGTGCTTTCAGTAAATATTGGTTTGTGTACAACTAAATCTAGATGAGATAACACGATACAGTTTAAACCTTTCCAGGGCAGCCATTTTTTTTAACAGTTAGTCTTTTTAAAACTTTGGTTTTCAAAACAGTCGTATTTATAATGATGAGAAATGTTTACCTGGTCAGAAAAAAAGGAATTTAAGATCTGGATATTTGATAAAATCGAGCGTTTTCTGGGCCTGGTGTTTAAATCAGACTGGGGTTATTTTTCCGGAAAATTAGAACTGGGCGAGTTTGTACTTTTTTAACACTTTTGCTAATGGTTACCATGATTAACGAAATAACTTTTTTCCCTGCAAAACAGATTTTTCGCCTTTTATAAAATAATATTTACATATTGTCCGTATTTTTATCTTTCCGTTTGTTTAGTTTGTTTAGTACCGTTCTTTGACGAAATTTTCGTTAATTTTCAAAAAGAAAGCACCAAAGGGCCAACACACGTTCGGTTTTTCTGCGCTCTTGAAATTCTGATTTTCTGATTCTAGGAATTGTTAGAAAACATTATTTGTTCCTTGAATTCCAAGCAATCAAGTTCTCAAAGAGATTATGCATCTGGATAAAGTGAAGAGGGGGGGGGATAAATCCCTGGATTGAAAATCCCTCTTTGTAATGTTTGGAATATATTTAGATATTTGTTTTTGTTGTATATTGTTTCATGTCGTCATCTGTCCATTTATCAAGTTTAATAATAAAAAAACAAGCTCAACCAATTATGAAAAATCCAGCGATATTTATAAAATCAACTTTTCTCAATATTTATATATATTCAACCATTTAAGCCAATTTAATATTTCAATTCAATGTTAGATATTTTAAAATGTAAAAAAACATATTTTTACAAAAAAAAATTTCAAGAAAATTGAATCTCCAATCAAAACTTGCAATCAGTAAATTTTTCATATCATTTAGTTCGATCAATTTTTGTGCCAAACATTTCCCGGACGCGATAAACGCGTGAGACCCGATTTGCCAATTAAAGGAAACGAGCCTTTGCCACAAATTCAAATATACTTATTTCTATATTATTGAATCCTTGATGGTGTAAAGATCACAAAAACATGAAGATTATAAAATCAGAGTTTGTAGCAAAAACTCAGTTTCTTTTTTTAATAACGCTAACCTGTATATAATCAGTTGTAATATTAAATATTTATACAAAGTACAAAGCTTATTTTGTTGACGTCGTTTAAAAATAAAGTATCTTTGTTTTTATTAGTTTGTGAGATGACAGTGAGCATACAAAACAAGTTTTAGAGGTTTACTTTAAATTGTATTTAGAATACTTTTTTATTATTTTATCACCAACAAACTAAGATTATTAATTTTTGATAAATTTGGACCCATTTCATATTAATAGGTAGGTTAATATCAAAGGAAGGAGAGAGAGAAAAAAATGGAGAAAAAAAGGAAGAAAGGATCTTAAATATGTATAAAAATCAGGAAGCTTAAACACTAGGTAGGTAGACATACATGTAGGTAGGTAGGAAAATACTACCTGGATAGATATAAAGATATACAGGTAGGTCTATGTCTGTAGTTAGGTGGCTAGCTAGCAAGCTAGATATAAAGATAGATTACTATGTTTAGGTAGGTATAGGTAAGTAGGTAGGCAGGTTGATAGAAATGTTTAGCTTACTAGATAAATATAAAAGATATTGATATAGGTAGATAGATATATATATATATTATCGATAGATAGGTAGATTTAGGTAGGTAGCTAGGTAGGTACTAGCTAAATAAATAGATGGATGTGAAGATAGAATATTAGTATGTTTAGATAGGTAGGTAGGTATGCTAGATAGATAGATATGTTTAGCTTATTGGATAGATAAAAAAAAGATATATGATAAATTGATTGCTAGCTCGATAGGTAGATTGAGGTAGGTAGATGGTTCAAGCTAAATAGATAGATACGTTTATAGATAGATAGGTTGGTTTAGGTAGGTAGGTAGATGGCTAGATAGATAGATAAGTATTTAGATAGAGTAATGAAAGATAAACAGGAGTTGAGAGATAACCCCGGATTTATTGATAAGTTGGTTTAGTTTATCACTCTCATGTTTAGTTTATCTATAAACCAAACATAAACCTTAATTACAGAAACAGTTTAGAAACCAAATATTGAAATCAAGAGTTGGAACCTTTTAAAGGATACTCATAGAAGACTTTAACTTCATCAGCAAACTCATAAATTTAGCTTATTGATTAGTTAACATTTTATTTTTCAAAATATATTTTAGTGATCTCCCATTTGTCAAATATTTGAACTGGATTGACCGGAGTTCATCAAAAGAGAGAGAATCAGATTTAATCTTGTCTATTCAAAAGTCTCCGATTCTGAATTTTGGAGTTTTTTTTTGTGGGAGGGGGGGGGATGAAAATTCGAAGGTTTTTAAAAAAAGTGCAAAGAAGGATAGATTTACGCATTTTCTCTTGCAGAAAAGAAGATATAGTTTTGAGTGGAAAATATTTTGTAAGAAATAATAAGACAAAAGATATTTAATTTAATATCTTAAAATTTTTCATTCTAAAGGTAACAATGAAACTATTGAAAAGGGTTCATCAATATAATTTAATAATTAAGAAATCAAAAGAGTTGATTATCTTTTATTAACTAGATTTCTCCTGCTAAATTTATGAATTTAAATTTATTGTATTATGCGCGTATGGAACTTTTCTTTGCCGTGATTCACAATTTAAATACCATCTTTTCTGTGTCTCTTAATGAGGCGCCATTTAAATTAGAACTTTCATAATAAAAATAAATAATTTTGAGTAACTATTTATATAAAAATAGCTGAAGCCTGAAGGGCCCGCTGTTGTCCGTGAAAAAAATTTGAAAAAAATATTTTGAAAAAAAATCGAATTTTTAGCCTACAACATCCCCCTGCCACTCATGAGTGTCCACAAAAAATTTCAGCCAATCGGTCCAGCCGTTTAGCCGGCTTTAGACAACATATATATACAAGTGTCTTGTTTTATTATATAGATTACTAAAAAACTATTTTAAAATCAACACAAGGAAAAAACAAAAAAATTAAGTGAAAAACTGTTCTTCACCATTAGATTTGTGTGGCTGTGCTCCAACTATTTCGTAAGAATTTGGAAATTGTTCAAATAGATGAAAATTGTAAATTTTGCCAATTTCTGGTTTAAATCTGTTTGAGAATCTTGAACCTGGGAACAATCTTGGAATTCCAAACCTATTTCATCTGAACTACCGGGTTAAATAATAAAATGTTTAAAGGGGGGTTCAGTGCAACACAACCTCCGAAATAAGCAGAATCTACCTCCGAACTAGGCACAATATACCTCCGAAATAAGCAGAATCTACCTCCGAACTAGGCACAATATACCTCCGAAATAAGCAGAATCTACCTCCGAACTAGGCACAGTATACCTCCGAAATAACCAGAATCTACCTCCGAACTAGGCACAATATACCTCCAAACTAAGAAGAATCTATCTCCGAACTATGCACAATATACCTCCGAACTAAGCAGAAATAAACATAATATTCCACAGAAATAAACTGATTAATAATCTGAAATAAATTTAATATTCC